TGGGATTAGCTCCAAAAACTTTCCATATTCATCTTCTGGTTTTATTTTCAAACCAAAAACCTACTTGAATAATGAGACCTACCACAGGAATCTGAAGCTATTGTGAAAACGTAATATCCGCTTTTGTTTATTTGAGCGTACATGGTGACACAAGACGCTGAACTCTGACCTTTTTTTTTTTTTTTTTTTACAAAGGCTCAGTAGTTAAAAGGTACTAACCATAAACTCGTCTAACCAAATCTGCAATCTCACACTTAAACAGCAAATTCTACCATAGAATTCTACCATACCATCTGTCCTCCAGCTCAGTGTAAATTGTTTTGGTGCTCATGTAATTCTATTTATAATAAAGAATTACTAGCTTTTCTTCTCCCATTTTTGTTCTTTGTGCAAGTTTATTTCAATTTGCACGGCTCTGTCAAGTCTGTTGAATTATAACCATGAGGTGTTTCTCTTTATCTTACAGGTTATGTAACAGAACATTTTCATAGTGTGTATTTAAGTCACTAATTATTTAGCCTATGTGTTTCAATTGTCAAAGAAAAAGACAACTCACGGCCAGTGTTGGGAAGGTTACTTTTAAAATGTAATCCCCTATAGATTACAGATCCCAAAATGTAGTTTGTAATGTAATCCATTAAATTACTTAGAGTAATGGAATCTGAATACTTTGGATTACTTGATATTGTCATGCTTTTAAAAACTACATGAACCACATCCTCCAAATTCATGTTTGTTTGCTTCAAATTATCTGTTGAGCCCAAGTTCTCCATGAATAGGTTTGCTGTAGAGAAGCAAAGACGAGGAAATCTTCACATAAGAAGTTTTGTCAGATAAAAGACAATAAAAAACCCAGTGTTTCCTTAACCATATTAAAAATATTATTGATAGAGAAATTATTTCTAAATGAGATCACTGCTGCTTTAAATTATGTCCACCCTACTGTTAGTGTCATATTGTTTATTAAAAAAATCACTGTCAGTACAAACATAAAGGCGCTAGCCCAGTAAAAATCTGTAATATTTGATGTTTTTTACTCAAAATGATGCAGAATCAGATTATTAACAACGATTATTAACGACCTCGTCCACTGTGTGACTGACGCCACCAACATTAACAAGACGTTTATGTAACTCTTATTGTGTTCGCTCTGTGTGGGTTTCCGTCAATGAGTGGAATTACCGTAATAAAATAATTTTTAAAAATGTGATATAGCCCAAAATGTGAAAACAGGAAAATACCACCATGTAATCCATTTATTTCAACAAAGTAACTGTAATCCAATTACCACTCACTGAAACAGTAACTGTAACTGAATACAGTTACTCATAATTTGTACTCTGATTATGTAACGCCGGTACTTGTAATCTGTTACTCCCCAACACTGCTCACGGCCAGTTGCACAAGAGGAGATGCAGACTCCACTGAAAAGAAAAGGTTAACCACTCTGCCACAGTCCAACATAAATCAGTCTTTGTGCTGATCTCCATTTCACCTGTAAAGACAGCACATTCAACAGGATTCTGAGTCTATAGATAAATACATTTGCCAGCCAAAATTTGAACACACTTTGTTTTTCTTTATTTTTCAGGATGATTTATATGTAGATTCTTACTGAAGGCATCAAAACTGTGAATGAACATTGGCCCAGACCTGCTACTACATATTTCAAGTGCTCTGATGACACCGCTGTTCTTGTGACAATAACTCCATAACTGCTTTCCACCAATCTGCAGACGTGGGACCGAGTCATCGTTTTGCAAGTAAGTCTCAAGTAAATCTCAAGATTTGACCTCAAGCCCGAGTCAAGTCCCAAGTCAAATACAAACAAATCCAAGTCGAGTCTCGGATCACTGGCCCATAAGTCCAAGTCAAGTCCAAGTCGTCTGTTTTGAGCTTCATTTCAAGTTTTTAAACCAAAGTACCAAATACATCTTAGATTTTTGCAGTTTATATGAATTTTAAGATAAATTGTAATTATAAAGTCATAGTATATTTACATGTGAGTATTTACAGAGTATATTAGAGTTGTAGAAATTTAATTTTTTTTGTTTTTAAATGTCTTGACAAGATCTTGTGAGTGAATCATTAGTCAGAACAGAAAGAATTCAGATTTAAAAGTGTTTCTCAAGTCTTCTCAAGTCACAGGCCTCAAGTCCGAGTCAAGTGTCAAATCACTGACCTTCAAGTCTAAGTCGAGTCCCAAGTCTTAGTCCATTTTATCGAGTCAAGCATTAGTTTAGAACTGTCACTTGTTTTTTTTGTTTTGTTTTTCTTTGTTAAATTTGTGGTGTTACCTGCCTAGGGACTACAGATGGAAATGATAATTCTTGCTATAATCTGTCATATTTACACTACAGTGTTGTAGATGTTCATTAATATGCACTGTCCCTATTAAATAAATAAATAAATACATACATACATACATACATAAATAAGTCTCCAGTCCTAAAAGTAGTGACTCAAGTCTGACTCGAGTCCAAGTCATGACTTGCAAATCCCCACCTCTGCCAGTCTGTCACCCAGTTCACCAAGTGCTGCTTCAGAAACTGGAGCAGAACATTCTCCTCCTCACTCACACATCCCAGACCTGACAACGACCATCAGTCACAACAAACAAGAAAGTTTCAATCACTTCAAATATCTTCGGACTCACACTAGACAATAAACTTGCCTCATGTCAGTGACGTCCATAAACATCCACATCCCTCTCTGTTCCCCCACACCTTCTGTTATTTTTGTACACCAGTATCCTCCAGCCCATCCTTCTCTACTGCTCCTTGTTACTTCAATATCCTCTCTGTCACCAACAGGAACAAACTCACAAAATTATCACTTTGCCCGTCACTGACCTCTCCTGCCTCAACAACAGAGCCGTCACACGCATGGCCCAGACAGTCAGCAGGCCGTCAGACCACCCACTCTGCTGCCCTCAGGCTGCAGATACAGAACTGTGAGGTGGAAACTGGCACGCTGCAGTAAAAGCTTTGTCCCTTATGCCTCACTGCCCTTAATAGCAAAGAGTAATTTGGAGACTGACCAGCAGGTGTGTGTTCCTGTCCTGAGTCCATTTTTCTTTATTGTATTTATATTTGACAGTGTCTGTGAAAAAGAATTTCCCCCCAGAGACAATAAAGGTCTATCTATCTATACTCAAAACAGCCACCCTTTGCTTTGATCACTGCATTGCACTTTTGGCATTTCTTGACCCCAACAGAGTACAGATGTAAAGTGAAAACCATTTCAGGAGACTTCATCACAAACGCCACTGAGAGAAGACCAAACACCTGCACTGATGACAAAATAAAGTCATTGTTGGAGTTAGCAATTTGGGGGCCTTAGGTGAACTTAGCCCTTTTTTTTTTTTTTTAAATATATATAATTATTGTCTGTTTTTCCCCATTATGGTTCCCAATTATGGTGGATTGGAAACTTGTCTTATTAGTTTGGTCACCTAAAACCAGAGCTGAAAGTAGTTTTATTTTTTTGCTAGTTCAATTAAATTTTTTACATCTATTACTTATGATTATTATTACTTTTCTTATGATTATTGCTTAAATGTAAACTACTCTTATTTATTGTCATATTGAGAGAAAATCAAATTGCTCTGAGGTCGTTAGTGTCACTGAGGGCAATTGGTTGGGGGCCCCTCCAGGTTTGGGGGCCCTAGCCAGTCGTCTACTTTTCAATTCAATTCAAGTTTATTTATATAGCACATTTAAAACAACTTCAGTTGACCAAAGTGCTTCACATACAAGTCAACAGCAACAGCATAGAAGAAACAGTTACATATACATATATACAGAAAACATGTTAAAACTACAATAAAAAACACCAAGATAACCTGACTAGCTCGTACTAAATGCCAGGGAGAAGAGGTGAGTTTTCAGTCTCGTCTTAAACTGCGCTACAGACTGAGAGGATCTGACAGAAAGAGTAGAGCAATTCCATAGTCTGGGCGCTGCCACAGAAAAAGCTCTATCACCTCTTGTCTTGAGCCGAGTTTTGGGCACGACCAACAGGAGCTGGTCGGCTGATCTCAGGGCTCTGGGCGGAGTACAGGGCTGCAGTAACTCCCTCAAGTAGACTGGACCCATGGAGTGCAAACATTTGAAAACAATAACATTTTAAATTGCACCCGATATAAGACAGGGAGCCAGTGCAGGTCACACAGAAGAGGTGTGATGTGTCACATTTTTTTGTATTTGTCAGCAGACGAGCTGCAGCGTTCTGGACGTGTTGCATGCGTTGCAGGGAGCCCTGGTCTAACCCTACATATAAAGAATTACAATAGTCCAGGCGTGATGTCATGAAAGCATGGATCGCTTTTTCGAACTCTGCCCGTGGGAAGTAGGGCTTTACTTTAGCGAGGAGCCTTAACTGAAAGAAGCTGGACTTAATCACAGCGCTAATATGCTTGTCCAGTTTGAACATGGAGTCCACAATCACTCCAAGATTCTTCACTGCAGGAAGACAATAGGAGGACAAGGGACCAATCACACTGTCCTGCCCAAGCAGTGGATTAATTTGCCCAAACACCACAATCTCTGTTTTTTTATGATTTAGATTCAGGAAGTTTGCGCTCAGCCAGGTTTGTACGTCCCTGAGACAGAGCTGCAGAGCTTTAATAGTGCTTTGGCTGTCAGTTGCAGTCACTGGCAGATAAATTTGAATATCATCTGCAAAGCATTAAAAAGTGACATTGTGCTTTCTAAAAACATCACCCAGGGGGAGCATATACACTATATACACTTTTGCCAAATGGTAGCACGCCGCCTTTGAATAAAGAGTAGATATTTTGAGAAGTCTGAATATAAATTATAAAAACACTATTTAGTTGAGTTATTTAACTTTTAATTGCATACATCTTGCATCATCTATTTCATCTCTGCAGTGTGTATCTAAAATTGTTGAAAGTGAAGAGATAAAGAAACTGGTCCGCAATAGTGACTCAGCAACTTTGGCGTTTTTGTTCAGTGTAAAAGCTTATTTAATTCTGCAGGGCTCTGTCATGTGTTTCTGGACGTATCATGGGCTGTGTATGAAGTCACGTGACCAACATATCTGCGCATATTAAAGCTGATGTTGCTATCTCCTGCCTCCAGTCTCCCAGATTCCTTCAAAATCCCCTCAAATTTTCACTTCGCATCTTTAAGCAGGTAAACTTTACCATTTTTTTCATACCAATACCCGACTTTTCATTCAGATAACCGCGGCGGCATCACGCTTCTTCTGCTTTTGTTGTTGTTACCAGCCATTTTTAGCCTGCTTTATTTTGCTACATCTACACGTTGAATTAGCTTCAAACATCGTACGCATATTCTTTGAACACACACAAAGCGATTTCACGTGTTTTACCTGCATTTTGCCAAGGTTATAAACTAGTGAGCCCCGTTAAGGTTTATTACACTGTTAGAAAAGGCGGAAAAGGCGCTGCACGTGATTAGCGGCATTACGGTAAAAACCCGGAAGCGCAACAAAAACCCGGCTCAAGTAGCGCGTTGTACACTTTTTTTTTTCTTATAAAACTACTTTTCCGTTCGTGATGGCGCTTCAGGCTATTTCCAGAGAAGCTGTCGCGGGTTGTGTTTCGTTAGGAGTCGTGTTTGTGGCCGGGTATTATTTGGGTAAGTAAAATTGAGGTGTTTTAAGTCGGCAGGTGAAGTCTCGTGATAAGCTTCTAATGCCAAGGTGACCAGGATTATAAGATTAGTTTAAAATTAAAATATAGTTTGAAATATAAAAAAATTAATTAAAAAATACACAGGCAAAAAATATACCCGGGTCAAAAAGAATAATTGTTGTTTGATAAAATTTAGAAAATATTTATCATACAGTTATCATGTAATAGAAAGTGGTTACGCAAATAAAAGGCCTACATTATGATTGTAGTATTGATTCATTCATAAACATAAAAGTACCTATATTTAATCAGTGTTTTTTGAGGCAATAAGTGACTATTGTTCACCCAGAAAATTGTACTAAATAAAATAATTCAGTATAAACCTATGCCTATACACGTACATAAAAATAACATTATTATTTACATTATTTGTAATAGAGACTAGCACGTGCTACTGTAATACAGTTTTAAAGCTTTTAGTCAAAGGTTTTAGTTTGGATTTGTGTTTAAAACTAGAGCAAACCCCCCCATTATATACCCTATAGAGAGGATGGTTGACCTACTTTGACTAATCCTGTTTCCCATGTGGAGATTTGTAGACGTTTAATGGATATTGTCATAATTATGTCAAGTTTAATGTCATAATTATGTTTCATTTATGTCTCAGAGCAACTCAAAACTTCAGACGCATTTTTTCTTAAAGTCTGTTGTGTCAAATTGTCTAACTAGTGTCTGTACTAATAATTAACCAAAGACCATATTTCTTACACAAAAGTCCTGTCTAGGTCCTCTCTATGGTCTCGATGTAGATATTTTGTCCAACGTATTTACTCTTTTTACTGTTGACTTACCTGTTACTTATCGCATTAGTGCAAAGTTAAAGTTTGCTGTGAGGATCTAATCAGGTTTTCTGACTTTCTAAATAATCCCAGGCAATGGAAACCGTTCTTCAATCTTTGCCTTTCCATATACGTCATTAATTACTTAAGTTAATAATTACTACCTTTATGACAATACAAGGAGCGAAAGTGTAATTTATATTTAACTAATTTATTGTCCAGCTTCATTGTAGACTTTGGTTAGAAAGAAATTAATTAGTGTGAATTCTAGTTTTACACCTAACCACAAAACGCCCAGCTGTGTCCTGATAATGAAACAAATGGATTATATTTTTACAATCCATCTGAAATTTACTAGAAAAATGCTTAATAAATGTCTTGATTGAGATTCAGGTGTCACAGAAAATGAAAAGTTTTGGAAAACCATACTGCATGTTAATTTAAAGATTCTATATTACTGAAAATTTACTCTTGTGAGCTTTAAGTCGTGTTATTATGTCGTTACGTCATCAAAAACAAACCTGGAGTTGTGTTTTGTTTCATTCACACATGTTTAAGTAATCATTTATTATTAGTCTGTCTACATCTCCAAAGCTCAAAATGCTCTGCTCCACTTTGTGATGTCATGTAGTGGTAGTTTTCAAGTTAACAGCTCCTTTTACATTTTGTTCAGTAGAGATTGGATATCAGCATCAGCCCTGGAATAGTGGAGCACGTCATGTATCACCACATGACATCACAAGGTGGAACAGAGTGTTTTCCGTTTGACAGAAGAGCTCAGCTTAAATATGCAGGATTTGTGTGTTTGAACATGTGTGAATGAAACAAAACACAACTCCAACAACATTATAACGTAGATCAGAAATTAGCGTAATATTGGAGCTTTAAATGCAGCTATTTCAATATTCTCTTGTTGACGGTATATTCCCCACTTCTCACTAAAAATAATAAAAATGACTTCACTGTTTTTTAGGCAGAAGAAAGCCGACCATGAGTATCTCCAAAAGTCACTGTGGAGGTCAGACTGATCCTCTGATGCAGTATTTACTCAAACACTCACTGAGGGAACACCCGGTCCTGAAGAAACTACGAGAGGTGAGTGCACTAAGCCAGGACTAAACCAGGTCTAAACCAGTATGAAATGAGGACTGAAACAAGAACAGGACTGAAACAGGACTAAACCAGAATGAAACCAGGACTGAACCAGGAGTCAAACAGGACTCAAACGAGACTGAAACAAGACTAAACCAAGTCTAAACCAGGACTGAACCAGGACTAAACCAGGCCTAAACCAGGACTCAAACAAGACTGAACCAGGACTAAACTAGGGCTGAACCATTAATAACCTAGGACTTAATCATGATTCAGGACTGAACCAGGACTGAACCAGGACTGAACCAGGACTGAAACAGGACTGAACCATTAATAACCTTGGACTTAATCATGATTCAACCAGGACTAAACCAGGACTAAACTAGGACTGAAACAGGACTAAACCAGGCCTAAACCAGGACTCAAACAAGACTGAACCAGGACTAAACTAGGGCTGAACCATTAATAACCTAGGACTTAATCATGATTCAACTAGAACTAAACCAGGACTGAAACAGGATTAAACCAGGACTAAACCAGAACTGAACCATTAATAACCTAGGGTTTTATTATAATTCAGGACTAAACCAGGACTAACCTTGGAGTTAACCATGATTCAACCAAGACTAAACCAGGATTGAACGAAAACTTGACCAGAATTTAACAAGGACTAAACCAGGACTCAAGCTAGACTAAACTGGGACTGAACCAGCTCTAAACCAGGAACCAGGACTAAGTCAGACTAATTTAGGACTAAACTGGAACTACAAAAAGAGAGAGACAAGGATAGAACAAATGCAAACCCAGGACTAAAGCAGAATGAATGTAGGACTGAAGCAGGACTAAAGCAGGACTAAAACAGGACTAAAACAGCAAGACTCTCTAAGGGAGCGTTAAATGGTGAAACCAGGTCCCATGAGGTCATACTAAATGCATTATTTTTCATTATAAATAGTTTAAAGAAATGGGCTAAATTTAATGAAAAGCACTTTACATCATTGAACTGACTGAAAACTTTCTCTAAACTCATTTAAGACCATGTAAAATTTCTGAGAACAAAACCAGATCAATCATGTATCAAATCCAAACCAGGAACAAATGAGGACTGGACCAAGACTAGACCAGGACTGTGCTTTAGTGATCTCACTGTTTTAAACTATAAGGTTCTAATTAAAGAAATTCTTGATATTTGAAGAACAAACATGTATAAATTCAAGATGTTCTGTTGTTGTCTGTGTAAATCCTTTATAATCAGACTAATTCAAATGCAGCTTAACTTGCCTTCACACATTGTCAGGACTAAACCAGGACCAAACCAAGTCTGCATCTGGTCTAAACTGCTCTCAAGACTTGGACCAAACAGGAGCCTGAATGCATTTTAAAACACAATCTACCATAAAATTGACTTATTTTGGTAAAGGCCTTCAGCACTTGTAAACTGTTAACAGTGGACAAAACCAGGACCAAACCAGGACTAAACCAGGACTAAAACCAGGACTGAACCATTAATAACCTCGGACTTAATCATCATTCAACCAGGACTGAACCAGGCCTAAACCAGGTCTGAACCAGGACTAAACCAGGACTAAATCAGGACTAAACCAGGTCTGAAACAGGACTAAACCAGAACTAACCCAGGACTAAACCAGGCCTAAACCAGGTCTGAAACAGGACTAAATCAGAACTAAACCAGGACTAAACCAGGCCAAAACCAGGCCTAAACCAGGTCTGAAACAGGACTAAACCAGAACTAAACCAGGACTAAACCAGGCCAAAACCAGGTCTGAAACAGGACTAAACCAGAACTAAACCAGGACTAAACCAGGCCTAAACCAGGTCTGAAACAGGACTAAACCAGAACTAAACCAAGACTAAACCAGGCCAAAACCAGGCCTAAACCAGGTCTGAAACAGGACTAAACCAGAACTAAACCAGGACTAAACCAGGCCAAAACCAGGCCAAAACCAGGCCTAAACCAGGTCTGAAACAGGACTAAACCAGAACTAAACCAGAACTAAACCAGAACTAAACCAGGCCAAAACCAGGTCTGAAACAGGACTAAACCAGAACTAAACCAGGACTAAACCAGGCCTAAACCAGGTCTGAAACAGGACTAAACCAGAACTAAACCAGGACTAAACCAGGCCAAAACCAGGCCTAAACCAGGTCTGAAACAGGACTAAACCAGAACTAAACCAGGACTAAACCAGGCCAAAACCAGGCCAAAACCAGGCCTAAACCAGGTCTGAAACAGGACTAAACCAGAACTAAACCAGAACTAAACCAGGACTGAATCATTAATAACCTTGGACTCAATCATGATTCAACCAGGACCAAACCAAAACTTAACCAGAATTTAACAAGGACTAAGCTAGACTAAACTGGGACTGAACCACACTTCACACATTGTCAGGACTAAACCAGGACCAAAACAAGTCTACATCTGGTCTAAACTGCACTCAAACTCGGACCAAACATGATCTTAAAACAAAATCTCCCCAAAAAACTAACTTATTGGGTAATGGTCTTCAGCACTTGTAAACTTTTCTCAGTGGACAAAACCAGGACTAAAACCAGGACTTAACCAGGATTTAACCAAGTCTAAACCAGGACTAAAATTTTGATTTCAGATTTGAGCTGAACAAAATCCAAACTGAACAGGGACTAAAATGGGACTAGACCAGGACTGAACTGGGACCAAGGGTAAAACCAAGATTAAGCCGTTACTTTGCGTTTTGTTTGTTTTTCAGAGGACGATGGAGCACAGTTTGAACGTCATGATGGTGGCTTGTGAACAGTCCCAGTTTATGGTGAATCTGGCCAAACTCATCAAAGCAAAGAAAGTGGTAGAAGTCGGTGAGAAGAAGCACTCTTTAGTACAGATGGTTAGAATAGTTTGGGATTGGGAGATGTCAGGTATTTAGTTTAATTTAAAGGTCCTATATTACGCAAAAACTTGACTCTCGTGAGCTTTAAACCGTGTTATAATATTGTTACTTTGTCAAAAACATACCTGGAGGTGTGTTTTGTTTCATTCACACATTCACACAACTCTTTTTATGCTCTGTTCCACCTTGTGATGTCATGTTTTCAAGGTAATACCTACCTTAATTACTCTTAATTCTGTAGAGATTGGCAATCTAGGGCTGAAATTATCCAAATAATGAGGATGTATTGAGTTTAAAAACACACCAGAGCACTTTCCGTATTATTTTTTTTTACCACGACATCATGAAGTGGAACAGTGTGTTTTCTGTTTGAGAGAAGAACTCAGTCTAAATATGCAGGGTTTGTGTGTTAAACATGTGAGAATTAAACAAAACACAACTCCAGGTCTGTTTGTGATGAAGAAACAACATTTTAACATAGATAACAGAAAATGGTGTAATATGGGCTCTTTAAAATGATTTGGGAGATTTTATATTTGATGGTGCTGAAAACAAGCCAGGCTGGCGCCACCTAGTGCCTCCGCTCAATTTTATTTCTCTCCAGCGACTAGGTCAGGAATCAAAATACACTAGACGGTCTGCAAGGACCCTGAAAGCGTGAGTCCAGGCACCTGCCAATCAGCGAAGAGCCATACATTCTGTGTTGGCAACGATTCCCGAGATCAAGAATTTAAAGCCGGAACAAAGAGAATGTTTGGTGAATTTTTTCAAGGGGAAAGACGTTATTGCCCTTCTTCCTACAGGATTTGGAAAAACGACCAAATAGCAGCGAATGGATAAATAAAAAAGTACCTGCCTACTGTCGAGTGAACGAATCCTAATGCTGCGAGGTCAGACGGTTTCTATGAAGTGAAATTGGCTGATGAATCAGGCTAGCTGGAAAACAGGACTTGGAAAATATTGTTTACTTCAGATTTGAACAAGATATTTCACTTAATATTTTTTTATTTATTTAAATTCTAATTGCAAGTCATTTTTATATATATATATAGAGAGAGAGATCCATATCTAATCCTTTGTCAGTTAAAGCATGAGGTTTGGAGCTGAGTTTAGACTGTGGAGTGTGAAATTTAACTTTTATGTCCTTCTATTGTACTTCTTGCTAATCTTGTCTAACCTCCAGCACTCCCTGAATATCTTGCAGAAAAAAATAGAGTATTATCGGCTCTTTACCCAGGACAGATGAATGGACTGTTCTCATGTGTTTGTTTAGGAGTGTACACAGGATATAACACTTTGAACATGGCGCTGGCGTTACCGGACGACGGAGTGATCGTGGCCTGTGACATCAGTGAAGAATACACCAACGTTGGAAAACCTTTCTGGAAAGAGGTACCACTTTTTTAATACATTTTTTTATAATATGCTCGAGACATGATTTAGATATGGTTTTGACCTCGTACATTCACACTTGTCCTGGTTTAGGTTTAGGTTGGTGCACGGTTTTGTGGGTTATTTAAAGGCTCATATTACGCTATTTTCTGATCTAGGTTATAATGTTGTTTCCTGATCAAAAACATGCCTGGAGTTGTGTTTTGTTTCATTCACACTCATTTAACACACAAATCCTGCATGTTTAGGTTGAATTCTTTTGTTAAACTGAAAAAACCTCTGCTCCACCTTGTGATGTCATGTGGTAATACAGGAAGTTCTCCAGTGTGTTTTTAAACTCCATATACCTTCACTAGAATCCATCCATCCATTTTCTTCCGCTTTTCCGGGGCTGGGTCTAAGCAGGGACTCCCAGACTTCTTTCACCTCAGACGTGTCCTGGGTTTTCCTTCCTTTTCCTTCCGGTGGGACATGCCCAGAAATCCTCTTTACGTGGAGGAGCAGCGCCTCTACTCCGAGCTCGTCCCGTGTGACTGAGCTCCTCACCCTGTCTCTAAGGGAGCATTTCAAGCGCTTGTATCCGCAGTCTCGTCCTTTCGGTCATTACCCAGAGCTCATGACCATAGGTGAGGATAAGAACGAAGATTGACCGGTAAATCGAGAGCTTTGTCTTTCGGCTCAGCTCCCTCTTCACCACAACGGTCCGATACAGCGACCGCATCACTGCCGACACTTCACCCATCCAAATGTCAATCTCACACTCCGTCCTCCCCTCACCCGTGAACAAGACCCAGGGACTCCTCACTCACCCGGACAGACCAAGCCACCTTTTTCCGATCGAGAACCATGGCCTCAGACTTAGAAGAGCTGATCCTCATCCCAGCCGCTTCACTAGAATCATTTGGATAATTTCAGCCCTGGAATTGCCAAACTCTTCAGAATCAAAGGTAAAAGGTAGCTATAAATTTCAAGGTCGAACAGAGAATATTGATCTTTGGAGATGTAGACTGACTAATGATAAAGCATTAGTCAAACGTGTGAATGAAACAAAACACAACTCCAGGTTTGTTTTTGAGGAGGTAACAACATTATAACATGACTTAAACGTCACAGGAGTTAATTTTGTGTAATATAGGACCTGGTAAGGTTTTGTAGTTTGTAATTGAAAAATATTCAAATGTGCCAAAGTTTCAGAAATACAACTCTGTATATCACTGGTTTATACTTTTTATTAATAATGTATTTTGATTAATTGATTAATTTTTTACAGGCTGGAGTTGAACAGAAGATTGACCTGCGCTTACAGCCTGCTCTGAAGACTTTAGGTACCGTAATATATAAATTTAATCCTAATTTTATTCTGCTTTGGAACTGATTTAGGTCTAATTACATCCTGGTTCATGTGTGGCTTTTTTGTCCATAATCAGTTCTTAGTTGGTCCTGTTCTAGTCCTGGTTTAGTCCTCATCTAGTCCCAGTTTATACGATTTTTATATGTCCTTGTTTGGACTGGGTCTGATCTTGGTTTAGTCCCAGTTTAGTCTTGTTTTATTCTTTGTTTTAGTCTTTATTTTAGTCTTAGTCTAATCCCAGCCTAGTCTTGATGTAGTCCTGGTTTAGTCCCGGTTTAGTCTTTGTTTTAGTCTTAGTCTAGCCCTGGTCAAGTCTTTGTTTTAGTCTTTGCTTTAGTCTTAGTCTAGCCCTGGTCAACTCTTGGTTTAGTCTTGGTTTAGTCTCGGTTTAGTCTCGGTTTAGTCTCGGTTTAGTCTTGGTTTAGTCTTGGTTTAGTCTTGGTTTAGTCTTGGTTTAGTCATGGTTTAGTCATGGTTTAGTCTTTGTTTAGCCCTGGTCATGTCTTGGTTTAGTCTTAGTTTTAGTCTTAGTCTAGCCCTGGTCTAATCTTTTTCTCCTGCTGCAATTCTAAACTAAATATTATATCTTTTCAGTGGTACTCAAAACGGCGCCTACAAACAGCTCATTTATTATTTTGTTGGTCTTGTCTAACTGCATTGTTTACTCCGTATTTCCAGACGATCTTCTCGCTGCTGGAGAGGGTGAGACTTTTGACTTTATTTTCATCGACGCAGATAAAACCGGCTACGACAACTACTACGAGCGATCTCTGCAGCTGCTCAGGAAAGGAGGGGTCATCGCCATTGACAACGTGAGTTTACTGAAATAAAAAAACATTGTACTAAAACTAAAATCTAACTGATTTACAGGTCCTGTATTACGCTAAATTGATTCTTGTGAGCGTGAAGCCATAATGTTACCTCCGCAGAAACAGACCTGGAGTTGTGTTTTGTTTCATTCACACATGTTTGAGTGAACCTTTATTATTAGTCTGTCTACATCTCCAAAGCTGATGTCATGTAGTGGTAGTTACGGAAGCCGAGAGGGGTCACAACAAACGCAAACGCCGCAACAAATACAAATGCGACAACACAAACGCAAATGCCGCAACACATTAAAAAGCCACAACACATTAAAAAGCCACAACGGAAGTGACCGCGGGACTATTTTCCGACGCACCGATCAAGCGGCAAGTGAAGAAGAAGAAGAAGAACTACAACGTGAAACCAATAATGATAAAACAATAAATTACTTTTACTTACGTTTCCAACTTCTCCGTTCCTTTACTTTTTACGTTGTAGTTCTTCTTCTTCACTTGCAGCTTGATCGGTCCGTCGGAAAATAGAGTCCCGCGGTCACTTCCGTTGTGGCTTTTTGATGTGTTGCAGCTTTTTAATGTGTTGCAGCATTTGCGTTTGTGTTGTGGTGTTTGTATTTGTTGCGGCGTTTGCATTAAAATCGAGTCCCGCGGTCATTTCCGTTGTGGCTTTTTTTGGTGCGTTGTGGCTTTTTGATGTGTTGTGGCATTTGCGTTTGTGTTGTGGCGTTTGCATTAAAATAGAGTCCCGCGGTCATTTCCGTTGTGGCTTTTTGTTGCGGCGTTTGCGTTTGTTGTGACCCCTCGTGGCTTCCGTAGGTAGTTTTCAAGTTAACAGCTACCTTTTATCTGCAAAACTTTAGGGGGCAGGGGTGCTACTTGGGTGTACAGAGATTGTGCAGAATTGTCCTTTTGGTGCTCTTCAGTGTAGGGACCAGTCTCAAATACAAAGATGAAAAAACTGAGGCACTCAAAAAGTACAGAATAATTAAAAGCCTTTAAAACCACAGGGAAGATAAAGTTGAAATCACGCCAACACGTTTTGGCCCTTCAGCCTTCATCAGGACAAACTTGAGATGGATATCACAGTGCAGATTTAAAGTAATAAGATGTATGTCACATGTTCACAGTCCCCTGGTGCATGATGGGACATGTAGGCTGAACAGATTTTAGTTACAAGCTATTTAAGATAAGATATAATACAAGATACAAGATATAAATAGTACAATTCCCAACAACCAGTACATAGAAAAATATATAGCATAAAAATATACATAGATATATATATTTTTGATGAGGAAACAACATTTTAACAGAGTAGAAAATAGAGTAATTTGAGCCCTTTAATGTAATTTAGCCATCTTGAATCTGAAAATAACAGGACAAAGAGGACACACAATAGGAGACATCAATTGTACTAGTTGTCCTATTCTTAGACCCAACTAGACCTGGTTTAGTCTCAGTAAAGACCTGGTAAAATATATAATCAAGATTCAGTTCACAATGCACATTCTGAACACGTCCAAGAGACAAACATTTGCGGCAAGACTGAAATATGAGCTGCTAAACTAATACAAGAATCCTATGAATTTCAAAACATAGCAAAAGGGATATTTTATTCACCAAGGACTTTCACCTTTTCACTGAGCTGGGAAAATCTGCCTTTTCCTACACAGCACCATGGTCTTGGTATAATCTTAAATCAGAATCTGTGGAGTCAGTTATTGTAATAAGTTTAAGAAAATTGTAAAAATGCAAGCCAAATGGTTTTATAATGTGACAATTTGTCATTTCTGCTACTTTGTTGGCTGCTACCTTTGCCAGGTCTCTCTCAATCTGAGCTCCTGGTTGAATAAATAAAATTAAAATCTTCTTATTCGTCTTGCATTTCAGGTTTTGTGGGGAGGAAGCGTCTTGAATCCCAAAGATGACGACACCATAGCCATCGACAAACTCAACAAGAAGCTTTTACGTGACACCAGGATCAGCCTGAGCATGCTGCCAGTGGGAGATGGAGTAACGCTGGCTATAAAACTATAACAACTTAGGAAAAGTAATATTACAACCATCTACACTCATAGGCCTGTCACAATAACAAATATTCAAGCGCAGACTATAGACCCTTTAAAATCCTGTGGCATCACAATGTTCAAAATTCTGAAATGGAGGCAACACTTGTGAATTTTCAAGGTAATTCCTTACTTACTTTGCTTTTCTGTTAAGAAGGATGGAAAAATACAACTCCCTAACCTCAAAATTGTATTCGAGCTTCACAAAAAGTATAATTTATAATAATGAAATGTGTAATTTATCTGTAGATGAAACTGTAGTGAGCTCAACTTTTCTTTAAGGATTTGTTCAGTGAAACTTAAAACCAAAGAATCTGGACTTTTCCTTGATAAAAAAAAAATACTTTGAGTCTATCATAATCTCTTCTTAAATAAATAATATAAAACACAACTGTACATGTTTTAAAAATAGGCTCTGATGTCTCTCACATGTATCCGAGTGGTTTTCGTTTGCCAAATTTCCCTTAAGTTTTTCATATTTTGTGATTTTCGGAAGTTAATCCCAGTTTTCCCATTGAAATCCCATTATGTTCCAATTTCAACTTTTGCCTCCAGCTGCCTCCATTTAGGAATTTAGACTTTTTTTTTTGAAGGATCTGTAGAATATATCACCAAAAAAATATCAGAAAATATCACTATAAGCAATAAAACTGAAACTAGTGAAAGATACTGGGTGCATTTACATGGCCAGTAAAAATCCAGGATCAGTAATGAGTCATAAATTCAATTTTTTTTTCCACGTATTTGAGCATAATTATAATGGTGTTATGATCAGGAAGTGCGTATTAGCATGCTAGTCACCGTTAGCATTACCAGGATGGCAAAACTCTGCTCTGGTCTGGTCTACAAATTGTGAAAAGCGCTTTAAAAAAATCACGTAAAAGAAAAAGTTTCCCTTATCAGTACAGTAATTATCGTGACAGGCCTAAATTCAATACATTTTTAGGATTTAATTAATTGCTTTATTTCATTTTTTTTATATTTTTCTAATCACAGACTTGCATATACGGCATTAATGGAACTCAACAGTGCCCCCTGGTTCCAGAAGTAAATTTCTGATTCATTTTTCTGATAGACTTTCTGAAAAAAAATGTAAAGTTTGAAAGCTTGCTCAGGGCTGATCAGCTGAGCAGTGGTAATCAATAACCAAAAGAAATATGCTTTTATTTAAAATCTGTTTCTAAAATTTTATAAGCAGCTAATTTATTAAAACATTTCACTGAATTTTGCTTTTTGGACTTAAAACAGTGTTATGGAGATGAGCCTCTGCAAAGCCTTTGTACTCTTAATGTAATAAATTAGTTTTTTCATTATTATTTTTTTACTTATTTGAAATTTTTGAAAATCTACAGGAAAAATTATGGAAAATTTACTTCCCATATTGGAGCAGGAGGTCACTGTTGAGCTCTGTTTTTGCCAAAGAAACTACTAAAATAATCATTAGTAATTGTGTATTTTCCATATTTTTACATAGCATTTTCCACTTCTGAAAATAGTGAAATTGTGTTAAGATAAATTTAAATGTTAATTGTTTTTAGTGTCATTTCAAAATTCTTCACTGCCTGTATTACTCCAATAACGGAGTTTGTTAAATTAATTTGACATTGTAATGAATAACTTGTCAAACAAAACAAAAAATAAACAATGCATTTTGCAATAACTTTATACAAGTAATGGCTTCCATTTTCTTACAGTATAAAACTTTGTTTTCCAAAGACTGGGTCCAGATTTTTATTTTTATTTTTTTGGGTCGCCTTGTCACGATCTGGATGTAGGTTGAAATGTTAAGACATGTTTTGTATCATTTCTTATTTTATTGACTATTTTGTGCCAATATTGCTGGTTCAATTGAATGTTGAAAAGAAAAAGAAAAGGGCAACATTTAAAGTCTAAATAGGCGACTTATGGATCCTTTCATTGCTGGTTTAATGACTGTTTTTCATTGTTTAAAACTTGAGTAATTCTAATTGTTCAGAGAGACACGATCATTCAGTCAACAATAAAATATCGTCATTAAAGTTCAATAATGGTTAAATCCACCTTTATTTTGCGATTTAGGAATAATGTCCATTGACTTGGGTCGTGAAGGTTAGTGACTTTTAAAATATGGGTCCCCAGAAAAAAAGTTTGGGAAACACTGGTATAAAACACTGGTCCAATGGCATGTTATTTTGTATTACGATATAGATTTTTGTCATTGTAAAAAGTTCAGTTGAAGAGACAAAAAGAAACTTAACTTTGTCTTATTAAATATCAAACAATATTAGATAATTCCTTTTAAGAATTACCATAGTTCCAAACAATTTTACATTATTTAAAATATTTAGAAAGAGAATCAAAGAATCAGATTTCAGAAAATGTTTGTACAGATCTAAACTACAGGGTTAATAGTTTGTTTTTTCTTTGTAAAGGAAATTGAATTACAGCCTTTGCCATTTACTAATTTGATTCAGTGGCGATTAATCTCGTTGCCCTGCTTCCTGTGATAATTAGCGGTCCACGATCAATTACGAATCGAATAAAAGGTAATGAGCTTTTCTACAGGTTTGTGGTGAAATTCAAATGTTTATTGCAAAGTTAGCACACACTCAAATCAGATGTAGTTTTGTCCAGATTCACAGTCCTCATAATCGTGATTGTTCATGAAGATTAGCACAAAAAAAAGAAAGAAAAAAACAGCAGTTGAAGGTGTAAATAGCTGGAATAAGTCACAAAAATGGTCAAAAATAAACTCATCTACAGTAAATATCAGGGGACGAACACTGGGACAATAAGTCGATCTTATAGGAGCACTGTGTAACTTTTTGGTTGGGAGTCCGTCACCTGCTCGTTTCTATGGATACGTCACTGCTCTGTCTGAAATGTTCCACAGTATGACATTAAAACAGCTCTACCTAGTTTTATAGCTCCAAAAATACCTAGAAAAACAGGGATTCTGACTGTGAGCGCCGTCCACAGATCTGACCTGTAACTGCGGTCTGCAAGAAGATAGAAAGGCTTAATGCCATACTGCGAAACATTCCAGACAAAGCAACAACATCTCCACAGAGAAAAGCAAAGTTAAGTTACAGAACGCAGCTTTAAATGTGCACTGTGTAACTTTTCTGGTAGAGATGTTATTGCTTTATCTCCAGTGTTCCAAAGAATGGCATTAAACTTTTCAATCTTCATAAAAAACGAGGAGGAGACGCCACCAGGTCGGTTTACGGGTGAGATCTGTGAAGAGGTGACCCCACTTACAGTTAAGCCGGGTGTAAACTGTGGGATTTTTGAGCCGATATTTCACTCGTGCAACAGTTGTCTTAATCGTGTGTTGTGCTTCGTGTCGTAAAAATGGAGTAACGAGAACCGATTAACACCTCACGACCAGCTTCCGATCGGCATTCGTAGGTCACAAAAATATCAAACCCGAAATCCAGTCGCCTCTCGTGAGGGTTTTCGAGAACATGAACTTTTAAACCCTGTGATTTGGTCGTACAGTTTGAGCTGGGGCCGAGTGAAACCATCGAAAATATCGCGCTGTGTATGTCCAGGACAAGAATGCACGTTTTTAAAAGGTATTTTCAAGCAATAAAAACACCCAATATTGAATAAATGCATCTTATACAAGTTTAATATCATATTGTGGAACATTACAGGTGCAGCATCTCCATGGTAGCAGCACCTCCAACCTGAAACTGTACGCAGTGTACCTTTAAACTCATGCTTTCTGAAATTGTTAGTTTGAAACATTCACACTGAGAAGATAAGACTAGATTATGAGATATATTTGGTTAAAAATTGTAATCCCTTTAAACGTGACAAAGCAATAGATCAGTTATAACATTTCATTATAAGAGTTTACCTTATCCAGGTAGGGCATCTGATTTAAAACGCATTTATAATCATTATTTAGTCTCCACCCCTGATGTTTACGGTTACAGTGAGTTTTCCGTTTACACAATATAATCGCCTCATCTCTGTGGGAGCATTTTTAACACGCGTTTTTTACAATTTATTCATTGATTTGGGATAAAAATGTGCAAAGAAAGTAAAAGATTAAGTAATTTCTAGATGTGCAAAAAGGTGGGTTACATTCTAGGTCATCACGCAGTCAGCAACTCAAGTAACTCTGGTTTAAATAAGCCTGGGTTAAATAAAAGAAGAGGATAGATAAAGATACATAAACTGACTTAAGATGGAAAAGTCAGTGACCGCAAGTGCTTGAGAACTGGGCATGTAGTTTAATAATCATACTTGTTTTAATTTAAACAGCTAAGGAAATGATAGAGAAAACTACAAAATGTCTAAATACATATGTTTTGTTTTGGTTTTTTGGTTGAAAATATGAAAATCTCCACAAATGTCCAATACAACTAGTGTTAATTACAATGTATGAAATTCAGTTATTCCCTTTTATTCAAAACACATTCTTTTGTTAAAATTATTTAGTGAACTTTGAGAAATCTGAAAAACTAGGATATCATTTGATAAAATTACTACATTTTGATAATAATTTGGAGCTCAAGTGTACGATAGACTTGCATACTTTGTTAAAACGTATTTTAAATAGCAGCTCTGTTCTTAAATTATCTCGAATCTATTTGGAAATCTCCTCAAATTGGTCAAATAAGCCCGTCTCACACGCAAATAAGTCTAGAAATATTTTAAATGCAGATAACTTCAGTCATTAGGTGAGAGTTTGATAAATTGTAGTTCTCTCTGTACATTTCCGTAGCTGTGGATAATTTGTTTTGAATCTTCCTCATGCCTCCAGTTCTAGACCCAGGCCGAGTTTGTGACCTCCAGCGTTGATGTTTTTGCCATCGACCAGAGCTGAAAGCACCAGCTTCATACCTGCAAATAAAAAAACACATTAAATCACATTGTACAGGACAGGAAAATGTCCTAAAAGGTAAATTATGACTGTGTAAAGGCGCACTATGTAACTTTTCTGGTGGACAGGTTTCTGCTTCACTCCATGGAGATGTAATTCATGGGTGATAACGCAGTTGCCATAGCAATAAACAACTGACAAAACAAAATATTATATCTTTTGAAATGAAAAAAAGCTGAAAATGGTACTGACAACAGGAAGCTGAAATACATGAATTGCAATACTTAGATCACGGGTGTCAAACATAGGGCCCAGGGGCTCCGAGACCTACTAAAATATTTAAATTATACTTTCTATTAAAATATTGGTAATTTTCTGTGCCGCTTAGCATAGCAGCGTCTCCAGCGCTTCTGTGCGTAGCCGCCTCCCAGTCATAAATGAAGACTCTCTTTCCAAAAGCTCTTAAAGGACGATTATTTTGACTGTTGACCGTGACACCCTCATCAGCAAAATGTCCAAAATAAGAAAAGTGGAGCCGAGTGCAGGATTTTCCAAAAAAAATACCTATTATATTATACCTATTTGCATACAAGTTCATGTTAAAACATTGTGTTAAAATTGCATTTTTCTTAAAGTTTCAGGTTGTTCATAATATTATAATAAGAAAGAGTTCATCAATTAAAAAAGATTTCTGTAATAGATTTACATTTCTCTGCACAAATATTTGAACTTATTGCTGTTTTTGGGGTATATATGCCATGAGTTTTTTGATTCAGCCCCTTTGGGATAAAAGTAGGTTGGATACTGCCCACCAGACCAAAATGAGTTTGACACCCCTGACCTAGATTGTTCTACCATATGGCAAAAAGTGAAGGTGAATTTAAAAAAATAAAAAAATAAATAAAAAAAGACTTTATTTAAATGTAAAAATACCACCTAGTAACATCATGCAGTGGGACAAAACATTTGAACTCAGAATCACTTTTGTGAATAAAATCAAACACAAACTTCTATCTTTGAAAGTGCATATAGGGCCTTAAACAGAGGAGGGCTGAGTGAAAATATTTTAGTGTGTGTTGAATCATGTAATAAAATGACTTCGCCATTAATAAAGATTTTAACATTCAACATTGGGTGTAATTCATATAAAAAAAAATCCTGAAACTCACCAGGCCTCAGATTCTGGCTGTAGCCGATTCCTACCAGACTGGCATTGTTCACTTTGGCCTAAAAAAAGCAAAAAAATTAGGAGAGGAAATCAGTATTACATTTTAAAACCAACCCCACATGCAAAATAGAAAAATGTGAATTTGCATCATGTATTATTTGCAAGATATCTTCAAACAACACATTTGATAGTAAGAAAAAACACTGATGAAAAAAAACAAAAGAAACTTGCAGTGTAATCTCCTAAATGTAGGCCAAATGTAGGGTATCATTAAGAAGTTTACGATACAATGCATAGGCCCCGATACGATAAGTTTTTCAATTCAATAGGATTTGATGATATATTTCAAACTGATTTGATACGGTTTAGTGTAAAATAAAAGGCTAAATCAAGGCTGTGATTCTACAAGTTTGTGCAAAGTTAATATGAAAAACACCCACTTTACTCATCAAAACATGGAAAATGCCAACACGACTGTATCTCTTACACAAAATAATTTAGTAAAATATCCCTAAAAATACTCTTGGCAATATATCAATACAGTAACAATATCGTGGGCTGCTGTATCATCAAATTAAACGAGACAATATACCGATATTTCAATATTTTTACGCATCTCCTAGTCAAATGTGAAATTTACTTAAAAAATGATCTGATCTGAATAACTCCAACAGGGCATGCCGTGTGTTCTTGTGGCTTTAACTGGTTTTGAGCGTGCTTTGCGATATTTTAAAGCATTTTACATTATGTCTACATGTGGAAAACATGCTTTGGAAACTACAACAGTCAATTTTTGCTTGATGCCCTCAAACCGACAGCAGAGGACGCTCTTTTGTCACCACTGTCCACGTCAGCTGTAAAAACACCGTAGCTTTTATAGTTTGTACAGATAACACAGGGGCGGGTCTCACAGATATAGATGCGTCTGGGTCGAGTTGGTATTTGGCTGCGATTCCGAAGCAGGTCCCGTTGCTCCCGGCGCTCCAGGCCAAGTCCACCGCCGTCTCCAGCTTATCGTTCACCTTTTGGTAAATGGATCCACCAAACTCGCTGCCGTCTTTACTGTAAAATATGTGTTTAACAAGGATGAGTCAAAAGTATTACCAAAATGTTCCACAGTGACCACGTCAGTTTCAGTTTCAGCCACTTTCAGTCTCTTTAATACAGAAACCTAAAGGTGGGCCACCCATTGTCTAAAATAACCTGGACTATACAATGAAATAACTCTGACTTTTATGATAATACAACGACAACTACTTATTTTACATAGTTTATTATCTTGAAATTATACAGAAATATCTTCAAATTGATCAAATAAACCCGTCTCATATGCAAATAAGTCCAGAATTGTTTTAAATCTACATTATTTCTGTAGGTGTGGAAATTTGTTTTGTTTTCAATCTTCCTCATGCCTCCAGTTTTAGACTAAGGCTGTGTTTGTGACGTCCATTTTATAAAAACAGGCAGTCACTAACATTTATACTAGGGTTGGGCGTTATCCAAATTTTGATACCGTTAAACCTTCTCAGGATTTTACCGCGGTATACCGTATTACCAACATGTTTTAATATGACTTTGGTAAGATACAAAGCCGAACTGCTGTACAGTCTGTGCATATGACCTGCAGATTTATAATCAGTGAAAAGTTTCACATGAACCGTCTCCAACACGATACACACACACAACAGACTCACCATCAGCAGCACATTCTCTGTCACAGAAAGAACACTCATATTCCACTGAGTCGTGTCCTTTAGTCTGACAGAAGCTGAACCACATCAGCGCACAAGGAAAGAGCTGTTTTTATCGATGCTTTCAGTTTATGCAAATTAGCCACGCAGTTTTAAGTTTTGTTTCTGTAAATCGTAAAGAAATATGGCCTGAAGCCAAAATGCTGCCAAATTGCAGAAGTACTAGAATTTTTTGGGTACCAGCTCTCTTGTCGGTCTCCCTTATGAGCGTCATGTGACAATGAAACAAAACTAATCGAACGTCATCTCCCCACGCAGTTAAAAGAAACATTATAAACACTATTAGTTTTAATGATAGTATTAAACTGAAAATACAACCACACATTCATTTGTGCTGAGCAAACAAATGTAGGTAGCAATTATAATATTAAATGAGGTCCTTATGTGCTGCAGATTTTTTAAATGACGGTAATGAAATTATACTTTTTGATAACGCAGGATACTGTAACACTGTATTACCGCCCAACCCTAACTTATTCTCCATAAACTGAATGAACTGATATTATTCAAATAAAAATACCACCATTATTTTAACAAAATCAATGGAAAACACTGCAGAACCCAAATTAATTTGCACAAAATCATGAGGGAGTAAGGGAATATGGTAAGCTTAAATTTCGTACACTGTAACAAGCAGCAGCAGTTGCATTTGAAAGAAATATTTATATATGTATGAAACTAAAAAATTTTGTAGACCCAAACTCGCTGCCATCTTCACTGAAAAATATATTGCAAGAACTTGAGAAAATTGAAATCTATTTAAATGCAATGGAAACTGTCTGAACACATTAACCAGGACTCCACACACCACAGCACAGAGACCAACGATGCCTAATGTTCAATTTCTTTAGCACTGACTTTTGAACAAACCAGCAGATGGCGCTGTTGGCTGCAGATACCACACAGTGCTTTTGATCCAATCTTTAAAACATGATGTGTATTTATGATTATGTATTTATTTCATATAGTATAAAAAGACATCAACAGTGTCACAAGATCAAACATACAAGAAATTAATGAAAAGAAGCAGAAAGAAGAGTAATCTTACGTTATCTGCCCCCTTTTCCCTTTTCCAGACAAAACATTAACACAGATTGTTACTAATTATGATCATCTTGTCATAAATTGATCCACCAAACTCAATGACAACTTTAACGCAAAATTGTAAAAAATAAACCAGATCAGTGGAGCCGATTAGTAAGTAGGCAGCACCCTGCATATTTAAGCTGACTTCTCTCTCACACAGAAAACACCCTGTTCCTGTTGTGATGTCATGTGGTACAGGAAGTGCTCCACTGTGTTTTTAAACTTCATAAACCTTTGCTATAATCATATGGATGATTTCAGCCCTGGAAATGCCAATCTCTACTGAACTAAAAGGTAAAATGTAGCTCTTAACTTGAAAAACACACCTTCATGACATCACAGGGTGGAACAGAGCATTTTGACCTTTGAGATGTAGATAAACTAATAATAAAGGGTTACTTGAACATGTGTGAATGAAGCGAAACAAGATTAAAAGCTCACAATAGTCAATTTTGTGTAATATAGGACCTTTAGTCAAATTGAGAAGGTCTACATTCATACCTGAGTCAGTAAAAACGTGATTTAGGGCAGAGCTCAGATTTGTTCACATCATCTAAAACTGTAGCAGAGTTTAACCATTATTGTTACATGTTCATATTGTTATTTTATAGTAAGACTGGAATAAATGGCCCTCAGCACTAATATAAATAGAATACAGGATTTGTAGACAATCTCAGAACATAGTATAGTGGGCAAAAATAAGAACAGGGACATTTTTAGGCTCGTACACAGCTTTAAAACTGCTTTTTTTGCATCGGTGTGAAAGCACAGTCAATAATAATGCTGCTAAAAGCTCTTGCTCCTGGGTTTACGGATCAATAAAATACTTTATTATTAGATACAGACAGCGCACAGGACTCTGATTTTGCAACAATAGTTTTTTACAATACAGACGGGGAGGAATTACATGCATTTATTAACAAGAATTAATTTGTTGAGTGGCCCAGTTTTAACATAAAAGTATTGAATCATTATATAACCATCTCTGTATAGTAAGATTATCATAGGTTTAATTACAATTTGATTTAAAAAACGGGGGAAAATTAAGTGACAAATTTTAAGATCATATCCTGTACAGGGGTATGATTTTGAAGAATAAATAAATAAATAGTAACTTTTCTGACAAATACAGTGCAATTGTGTCTAGATTTGCAGTTTATATTTAAAAAGTAGGATTCTGTTTCAGGGTGAACATTGAAAACACCTGAAGGAGCATTAAGACCTGACTGAAATCTGAACTGAAAAACTAATACGAGAATCCCATGCATTTCAGAACATGTTTGTAGAGGCTTAAACTACAGATACAAGATATTTAAATACAAAGTTTGGATATTTTGCTCTTTGCGTAGGTCAGTATTATCTAAATAAATCCAGCCTTTACAATTTGCTAATTTTGTCAACTTAAATTTAGATTTTGATTTGACTGCAATGTATTTTGTAGCCCCAATATACTGTTTTAGATTTTTTATTTTATTTTTTTTGAGTGAAAAGGGGAGAGATATATGGTTATAAATCCGTGTATCATTCCTTCATTCGTTCTTCAAAATAAAACCAAAAATAAGAAAACGAAACAACAATTTTTCTCATTATTTGTCTCCAAAACCAAAATGAAAAAACAGATGATTTCTTTTTTCAGTTTTCGATTTTGTGGTTAAATGAATAATGAAAAAAAACAGATAACGGCCGTTTCCCATTTCCGTGACTTAAACTGCGATGCTGCTCTAAAACAGGACAGAACCAGGTCTAAAACAGGACAGAACCAGGACAGAACCAGGACAGAACCAGGACAGAACCAGGACAGAACCAGGACTGAACCAGGACTGAACCAGGACTGAACCAGGACTGAACCAGGACAGAACCAGGACAGAACCAGGACTGAACCAGGACTGAACCAGGACTGAACCAGGACTGAACCAGGACTGGCCCGGAGGTGCACAAATGTAGACTGTCGGGTGATCAGGACTGAGACCGGGACCAGACCGGGATTTTGGTTTGGGAGACAAATAATGAAGAAAATAGTAGTTTTTTTGTTTTCTTATTTTTGTTTTTATTTTGAAAATCAAATGAACGAATAATACGCCGATTATTATACTTAACTATAATACTTACTATGACTGCTCCTTTTCATTCACTTTGACGTATGAAACATTATTATTCTATATCCATCTTAAATTAATGAAACAAAACTTTAATGAGAAAATAAATAAATAGAAATATAATATGAAACTTACACGTTGGTATGGAGCTGGAAGTCCCCGGTCCTGTATCCCACGGCGATGTTGCTGTGGGTCACTTTGGATTTGGCCGAGTCGATGGTCATCTGGTACCCGGCGAGCCAGCCCTCGTACCCGGCCACGCCCCCTCCCTGGATGGTGGGTCCCGCGAAGTCCAGGTCCACGTCAATACCCACGTTTAGGAACTCACGCTTGTACGCTCCCCGCACCTTACCACTCTTCTTACTGCAGATTCAGAAACACCAGTTACATCAGTACTGTTTAAAAGGTGCACTGTGTAACTGAGTAACCCTCCACCAGAAAAGTTACACAATGTACCTTTAACTCCTGTTATCACCAATATTACTACACCAGCTCAAGGAGAACTATTACTCCTACTTAAACCAGTAATCCGAATGAATATACAGTTAGTAAAGTAAAATAAACTGTCAATGATCGAGAGGTCTACAGCCATAGTCATAAAGCGTGTGGTTTGAAGCTCTTTTCAGGCTTTTTGGGTCTAAAGGTGGGTCTAAAGGTGGGTCTAAAGGTGGGTCTAAAGGTGGGTCTAAAGGTGGGTCTAAAGGTGGGTCTAAAGGTGTGTCTATGTTAGACCTATGTTAGACCTATGTTAGACCTATGTTAGACCTATGTTAGACCTATGTTAGACCTATGTTAGACCCATCTAAGACCCATCTAAGACCCATCTAAGACCCATCTAAGACCCATCTAAGACCCATCTAAGTCCCATCTAAGTCCCATCTAAGACCTATCTTAGCTCTTTTCAGGCTTTGTGGGTCTAAGATAGATCTAAGATAGGTCTAAGATAGGTCTAAGCTGGGTCTGAGCTGGGTCTGAGCTGGGTCTGAGTCTGAGCTGAGTCTAAGGTGGGTCTAAGATAGACCTATCGTGGGTCTAAGATAAGGTCTAAGATAAAGTCTGAGCTGAGTCTAAGGTGGGTCCAAGATAGACCTATCGTGGGTCTAAGATAAGGTCTAAGATAAGGTCTAAGATAAGGTCTAAGATAAGGTCTAAGATAAGGTCTAAGATAAGGTCTAAGATAAGGTCTAAGATAAGGTCTAAGATAAGGTCTAAGATAAGGTCTGAGCTGAGTCTAAGGTGGGTCTATGGTTGGTGTAAGGTGGGTTTAAAATGGGTCTAAGCTAGGTCTAAGATGGGTCTAAGGTGGGTCTAAATTGGAACTTGTCTTTATTTAAAATCATACATTTGATATTGGAAGCCATTTTTATTTCTTTTAATAAGAAAAAATAAGATTTGGTGAAAATTGTGATAAATTAATCCAATGGGGAAAAACAAGACACTTTTTGTACAAATAAAGCAGATTATAATAAAAAGCGTACACATACCCAGTGTTTGGACAAAAAGTAGTTTCAAAGTTGAGTTTCAGGCCTTTAGTAATCTGGAATGAAGAACATGTCATGGTTACATCTCAAGAAAAGTCCTCAAAATGGCACCTATAAACAGGAAGCTAAAGACATTACTACAAAATCTGCAAAGTGCATTAAATAGTAACGGTAAATCAGATACAAATCATAATTTCTGAGTTTGAACATGATCTCTAAAAATAAAAATTTAACTTAACGAAAACATTAGAAAAATATGAAATCATTTTGTGATTTGTGTGTGTACCTTGTCTTCGATGCAGACTTCAGTCCCCAGTGTGTTTTCTGTGGTCCATTTCTCAGTAAAAGTCAAACCGTATTCCGACCATTTGTACTTTGTCTCCAGAGCTCCAGTCACTTTACTGGTGTCGGTGTTGGACGATCCAGTGGTTTTGAACTCCTACAGGAAGATAATTTAAATATTTGAAGCATGAAAGATGATAAAGTATTGAGAAGAAAGGCTGAATCATTAGAAAGGAAGGGACGAGATACAATTTCTATAAGACAAGACTGGATCTATGAAAACGAGACAAGACATGATTTTGACATTTTTTTCTATAAATGAATTGTGCAATCAAGTTTTTAATTTTCTTCTCACAATTTTTTTTTAAATCTTACTTTATTTAATATTTTTGCTGTAGTGCTGCTTTTTGTGAGTACAGCTTCTCAAAAAATGTATATCGTCAAAGGAAAAAAATCTCACAAGATTTTTTCAGTATGTGCACAATCTTGTGGCAATTTTGTTTTGCAAGATCTTATGGTTTGAGATCTTGTCACTTCCCAAATCATTAAAGAAATATATTTTGTTTCCAATAGATAGTGCAGTTTACAATCAGCTTTGTAATTTCCCATTTCAAACAGTTTAAACAAGTTTTACATGATAGACCAGGTACACATACCTGAATAATTGCAATCATTGAACTAATAATTTGATTTGATTGCATTTAACCATACTCCCACATTGAGAAGCCACATATCAGTAATAAAAGTATTTTGCTTTTTCACTCAGACTATCACTGTAACAACGCAAACTGGTACAAATAAATAATCCTCCTTAATTTTTTAAAGATTTTAATTAACTAGTGTTGTGACTAAAGCAGGAATATGAAGGCCAAAGCACTGCAGTGGTTTCACACAAAGCTTTACCAAGTCAAGGAATAGGTACAAATAAATCTTTAATTCTTGATGACGTAACTTACCACACCATTTGTAGATTTTGTTTTCACGTCAAGTTTGATCAGACCAAATCCTACAGACATAAAACGACTGATTAAAACAAGCTACAGAAACAACAAATTACAAAACACAATGACCACTGACAGTTAATGTGACTTTAAAAAGACAAAAATTAATATTTCTATTGTATTTAACCGAACTATTTTTAAAGGTCCAATAATGTCAACGGAAATCAGTGGGAAAAGTACCACCTCCTCTACAGACTCTACATTAGCGACACTGTTTTGAATACAGAACTGAAGTGTTTATAGTTAATATAGTCACATATGTCATTGGAAAATCGGCAGTTACCGTATCCTTTGTTGAAAATGTCTTTAGCGGATTTTCCCAGATCTGCGAAGGCGGGAGGAATTGCCATGACGCCTGTAGATGAAAATAATAATGTTAAAAGGTTTGGTTGAGGGTCTGTCACCTGCTTGTTTCTATGGATACATCATTGCTCTGCTTGGAATGTTCCGCAGTGTGACATTAACTAGCTCTACTTCACATTTAACCAGTTACAGGTGGTTTTATAGCTCAAAAATACCCAAAAGACCAACTTGTTCTACGGATATATGTCATTGCTTTGCCTGGAATGTTTTACAGTATGACATTAAGCAAATATACCTTACTTTTATTCAATTACAGCTCAAATATACCTAGAAAAACAGGCATTCTGACTGTGAGCTGGGTCGCCTCTCCATAGATCTGACCTGTAACTTGGTCTGATTTGGTCTCGATGAAGATAGAAAGGTTTAATGCCATACTGTGAAACATTTCAGAGTAGGCAATAACAACAGAAAAGTTATACAATTATACAAATCACCTTTAATTAGAGTTCAAAATAAAAAAAACAAACAGGAAAACACTCATTTAAATATAAAGCTCCTTCTGATTGGAACAATCTTTCTTCATCGATTTGTACATTAACTTCAGTCCCTTCATTTAAAAATGCTCTTGTTCAGTATTTACAGAACCCATGTAATTGTTTGTGATCATTTTGTTGAATTTTTGTTGTTCATCTTGTTGTGATTATCTTTGAACTCTGGTTTTGTTTTTTCTTCAAACTTGTTTTATTATATGTAAAACTGTCAAGTGTGTGTGAGTGTGTGTGTGTGTGTGTGAGTGTGAGTGAGTGTGTGAGTGAGTGTGTGAGTGAGTGAGTGAGTGAGTGTGAGTGAGTGAGTGAGTGAGTGAGTGAGTGAGTGAGTGAGTGAGTGAGTGAGTGTGAGTGAGTTGTGCTGATTTTGTTGTTTTCATGCTTTTTTTTTTTTTTTTTTTTATGTATTTATCCTACTGTCTGCCCTACTGTATCTGTTTTTTGTTGTTGTGAGGACTTCCACGAAAACGAGATGGCAAGACATCTCAAGAGGCTTATCCTCCAAATAAATAAATAAATAAATAAATTCTAAATTGAAATAACATCAAAATGACAAAAATAAACCACACATTTTTACATCTTGGAAGATAAATCGCAACTTTTAATTAATTATTTTGAAAGTGAAACTGTTACTAAGCTATTACAAAGTCAAAACGTGATCATTATAATTGAATTCTTTAAGTTATTGTGTTTCAAAGTGGCTTTAGTTTGTTATCACCTTGGCCAGATTCTGACAAACGAGGCAAAGGTGCGTGACCAGGCGACAATAATCCTTTATAAGTTGGTTAATCCTGCAATTATAATGAAACTGCTAACAAACAAATAACAGAACCAGCTCTCTAAATCAAAATGAGTGACTAAACTGTTTAAATTTTTGGAGAAATGTCATAAAAAAGGTACATTTACGTAACTCGTGCGGTATAGTAAAGTGAACCTGACCGTAGAGGGGGCGTATATGTCACGCACACAGAAGCTAGCTTTGTCTTTTAGCATCTCACCTTCAAAAATCAAACCCAAAAAGCAAAATGATCTGAAACTACCTGATTGGAAATGTTGGTTCACTTACCGTTTATAGTCGTAAATGTGTCTAAAAACGCTAAATTAAACAAAGAGAGAGTAAATTGTGCAAGCCGGTGTAGGACGATATGAAGGAGAGCTGACCTCGCACCGCAGGACCCCAGATACAGCTGTCCCACACGCGCCTGTCTAAAATGGCTGCCAAGGAATGCAAAAGCAAAATAAAAGTTGTTTTCTACATTTAACATATTGCATACCTATTCTAAACATATTATCTTTAGACATTTAAAGTCTATAATTATTCATTTGCGTACTGTTAAAAGCTTGAAGCAAAGTATTTGCTAATTAATATAACATTATAGAATAAAATAATAAAAAACACCCAAATTACACCAAACTTGAATCACAAACCACAGCTTTTTTTTTTTTTTTCATTCATACTATTTAGAGCAGTGTTTCGCCAGTGTTTTTCTGGGGACCCATATTTTAAAAGTCCGAAACCTTCACGACCCAAGTCAATAGACATTATTCATAAATCACAAAATAAAAATAGAACTGGCCATTATTGATGAGGATATTTTATTGTTGATTGAGTGATTGTGTCTCTCTGAACAATTAGTATTACTCAAGTTTTAAATAATGAAAAACAGTCATTGAAGCAGCAATAAAAGGATCCATAAGTCGCCTATTTGGACATAAAATGTAGAAAGTTTCTTTTTCTTTTCAGCATTCAATTGAACCAGCAATATTGGAACAAAATAGTCGATGAGATAATTAAAAAAAAATTGAAATTATACAAAATGTGTCTTAATATTTCAACATGTGTCAGAACTGTATATTGCAGACCTACATGCAGATCATGACAAGGCGAAACACTGATTTAGAGTACAGGAAAAAAAAAAAAATCCTTACATTCTTTATTCTCATTTTGCTTATTTTGACACGATCATAAACGATAAACTTCTGTGACTTCTTTATCATTACTATTAGTTTGTACGACCATAATACAGTACAATACAAAAAAGAAAAGGCTACAATTATATTTAGTATGCATAGTTTGTAATTTATTTTGCTATATGTAAATATTTGTAAAGTTTTGTCATCAATGTACATAAGCAACCACACATTTTTTTTTATTTTTGAAACTATGTAACGAACAGGGAGAGGTTAATTTTTTTATTTTATTTCTTCCCAATTCTTTTCGAGAAATGTGCTTTTCTGTTGTTTACAATGTACATGTTGTATGTGTATGATTATGGTTTCTCTCTTGGCACAAATTTTAAATAAAAACCAACAAATTCAAAATTAAATTAAATTTAAAAGCATAAATAAATAAATAAATAAAATAAAAATGAGCAATTTAGAAAATCATGACAAAATTATCATCTTCATTAACCACTATAACAAACATATAATTGTATTTGTTAAATTAAAATCGCTATTTAAACACGCTCCTTAAAGTGCCAGTACGTTTTGCAGATGGCTAGATTTTCAATGTCTGGCAAGTTCTGATAGTAAAGGTATGTGGCCATTCAAGAAGGAGTGAGGCAATAAACAAATACAAGCGATTTCAGTTTTTTATTGAATTTTCGAAATGGGAAAATGACATGAAATGAGCACTACTGCACTGCACCAGTCAAAGTATAATACAGTTCGAAAGCTATGAAAACAATTATAATTTCACTTATTTGAAATCTCAAATGAAAATTATGAAAACAAATTTATCACCCAGAGCAACTGTAAACATTATTTTTTTCATGTGCATGTTGCTTAAACTTGGCAATATATATAAAAACTATCAATGCTTACAAAAAAAGAATAAATTAATACAAACATACATAGAAATTTAAGGAACTTGGCCACTACTCATGTTTTTAATGATATTTACACTGCCTCGTAGCATATAAAACACTAGACATCTACCAAAAAACTGAAATAGTTTAGACACAAACGCAATAATTACACTCAAAGAATTATTGGCAAGTTTTCATGTATGAGACAAATATTTACATAATTTGGCTCACAACTTTTGAAATGCTATGGTTACCATGACAACAATTCACAGTTTTAAACAAGGAAATCATTACTATTTCTTCACATGAATCAAATATAACATCATGACCAATCTGATATTACACCAGGACTTAACCAGTACTAAACCAGGTCCAAACCAGGTCTAAACCAGGTCTAAACCAGGTCAAAAACTAGGACTACAGTTTGACCAGTCAGTTTTGTCAAAGCGCGTGGTTCTGGCTGGTCAGATAAGGTCTAAACCGGGACTAAACCAGCTCAAAAACCAGGACTAAATCAAGTTTAAACCAGATCGAAAAATAGGACTAAACCAGAGTTAAACCAGTTTGAAATCAGGTATAAACCAGGTCAAAAGTACATCTGACAGATCGGGAACATCCGAAAAGAGCTGCTCTAAACCAGGTCGAAATCAGGTCGAAAACTAGGACTACACCAGGTCTAAACAAGGTCTAAAGAAGGTCTAAACCAGATCCAAACTTGCTTGACCAGCCAGTTTTGTCAAAGCGTGTAGTTCTGGCTGGTCAGATAAGGTCTAAACCAGGACTAGACCAGCTCGAAAACCAGGACTAAATCAAGTTTAAACCAGATCAAAAAACAGGACTAAACCAGAGTTACACCAGTTCGAAATCAGGTCTAAACCAGGTCTAAAGCACATCTGATAAATCTGGAACATCTGAAAAGAGCTGTTCTAAACCAGGTAGAAACCAGGTCCAAACCCGGTCCAAACCAGGATTAAATCAGGTCTAAAACACATCTGAACACCCCAAAAGAGCTGTACTAAACTAAATCAGGTCTAAACTAGGTCTAAACTAGGTGTAAACCAGGTCCAAACCAGGACTACATCACATCATAATGTTATGGTTGATTGGTGTATTATCTGTGGGATGAAAAAGGGTGCATTATGGCTATTTCTGTTTTGTCAAATCAAAACAAAAGGCAGTATACACTATAATTGGTCACTTTTTAAGAAGTTTTGTACATCAGTGGGCTAAAACAGAGATTAAAGATGAACTCTGTAACTTTAATAGTGGTGCCGTGTCACTTGCTCGTCACCATGGAGATGTTATTGTTTGCCTGGAATATTACACAGTACTTTTATAGCTCAAAACCACCTCAAAAAACATCTAAAGCAAGTTCATCTCTCCACAGATCTGACCCGTAACTCGGCCTAGTGGCGTCACCTGCTGCTAGTTATGTTGATTTAACGCTAGCGATAAATCTCCATGGTGACAAGCAGGTCCGCCAGAAAAGTTACGTAATGCACCTTTAACATAAACCTTTAATAATACATTTTTCTACATGTTTTTCATATTATGTTTTCCATTCACATTGAAGAACTTGTCCCAGAAAGGCTACCGTAGGCGATTAAAGGACTTACGTGGATATACTCATTGTAATCTTACTACAAAATGTTAACAAACAACATTTTTAAATAATTGCTTCCTCTATATTTTTTTGACAAGGCTAGCAATAATAAGTCTAGGTCTATAGAAGTATCAGTCTGGGCACCATTTTATTGTCATTGCGGGATAGGACTAATGCCTTGGCGGTGGTCTACTCACTTCGTTATTGTCTCTTAAAGTGATTTATGAAGTCCTGCAGTTATTTTAATGCACATAAAATATAATAATAGTAATAGTTGTTTGCAGACGGCGTAAATGTTATGGCTCTAGATCTGGGATTGCTTCGTATTCCCATGGCAACTTGAGAGAAATCGGTATTGACAAATGAACGGCTTAGAATATTTAAGAGGTTTAAAATGGTCTTTATAAACTGAAATAAATAAATAAAAACATGCAAAAAAATGTCAGGAATACTCAAATTAAAGTGTTCATAGTACAAAAACATATCTAAACGTAGGGGGTCTGTCACAGTTGAGACATCTCTCATCTACATTATATTAAACAAAGTCAGTTTAAACCTCTTACATATTCCTAGTGCTTAAGATTTTAAGATGCGCTGCAAAAAAGACCATCTTAAATAAGCAAATAGCATGAATTAAGAGTATTTACCTGTATTGATTTGAGTCAAATTTTTTTACGAAACTAAAATTATCAATGGTTCAATGTCTATTTTGATTAAAAAAAGAAAATAATCGTATTTTTACTTCAAAAGCGAAATAAATCAATCTTACTCCACTTTATCAGTAAAAAGGGAGTGATTACTTTATACTAAATAAGTAAAAATAACTTAAACTTAACTTAAATTAGTAAGTAAAAAAAAAAGGATTCATAATTCTTAATTCAAGCCATTTAGCTCATTTAAAGGTGCACGGTGTAACTTATTGCTTTGCTTTGAATGTTCCACAGTATGGCATTAAACTTTTCCACCTATCTCTATCTCCATGGAGACAAGCTGGTGGCAAAGTTACAAGTCAAAACCGTGGAGTGGCGAGCAAGGTCACAGTAAGAAATGCTTTTTTTTTTTTTTTTTTTTGTGATTTAAACAGCTGTAATTGAATAAATACGAGCTAGATTCAGTTAATGCCATACTGAGGAACATTCCAGGTAAAGCTTTGACATCTCCATGGAGGCTCGTCACCAGAAAAGTTACACAGCACACCTTTAAGACAGTCGTTTTCCCAGTGTAACAGTAATGACCAGTGCACATGTAAATTCAGTCAGTATTTTCAGTCCATTACACTTAGTGCCTGTAATAAAACCCCCGTCGTTTTACCCGATGAGCCTGCGCATTGCGGTGGGTCTGGAGAAGGGCCAGCAGTACTCGTTTGGCACCGGCCCGTTGACGTTGCACTCGAAAAAGGAGAACATGGGGAACCAGATGCGGGCGCGGCGGCTCTGCTGGTACGCCCGAGTGTTGGCGAGCGTGTGGTAGTACAGGAAGAGTCTGGTGGTGATGTAGAACGCGATGAAGACGTCGATGGAGTAGTGCTCGTGAGCCGCCAAAATGAAGAAGATCCCGAACAGGTTCAGGACCCAGGACAGAGTGTGCAGGAAGTGCCAGTTTCGAGGGGTGTCTGAAAGAGAATTAGAAAGTAAAAAGTGATTTGCTCATTTTACTATGTACCCGACTCACAACAAATCAAACGTGACGCGCAGAGAAGCCGAAATTCTGGTGGTCATGTGATTTAAACTTGTGTCAAAAACAACCAAAAGCGTGTGAGTCCAGCTTATCAAGACAACATGGAGAAAGCTTTGTTTTTTTTTTTTTGTTTTTTTTTTAAGTCCCTAAACGAGCCATTCCCATACTTGAAGATCACACAGGTCAACTCTAATAATATTTTACACTACATGTTAAAGTATATGGAATGTTTTAGATTAAATTTAGGTGTTAAAACAGTACATCCCCATGGGTTTAATACCAATCTAAAGAAAGATAAACTATCTAACTAACTAATGATAACAATACACATTATTTATTTATGTAGTGCTTTTCTAAAAACTCAAAGACGCTGTACAAAGAGAAAAATTTAAAAAGTACACATTTTAAAACGAGGTAATGGGACAAAACAGAATAGAATTGTCTCATAATTGCAGCTACTACAAGTTACTAATTAAAGCTATTCAAATTGCAAACTTGAGGTAGCTTGCACAATAGGGATGCAACAATATCCAAAACTCTAGATGCAATATTTTCACGATATACATCTCATGGTAGGGGTGGGCGATATATCGATATTTTAAATATATCGAGATAGTTTTTAAACTCGATATGAATTCTGACATATCGTATATATCGATATAATGCTTATATTCAATTTGATTTTGCCGCTTCGCTTGTTTACCTTCTCTGTCGTCGCCTCCGCCTCCCTGACTTTGTTCGCTCGTGTCTCCTTCACTCGTCACTATCGCCCTGAACGCCGAAAGTTGGTGCCAGTGAAAAGCTTCAAGCACCACGAACCTTTTCCACCATTTACAGACAAGACCACCAGCAGCACATCCTCGTATTCCACCGAGTCGCGTCCTTTAGCCCGAAAGAAGCTAAACGAGCTGAGCTGCACGAGAAGTGCGCTGTTTATGCAAATGAGCCATGCGCTTAAGTTTCGTTTCTGTAAAATATAAACACACGTGCGCAAAACTGCATTAAACACATTATTATCGCAAACGGGCTGATGTGGCTCTAGAGTCGTTATGTTTTATATATTGTAAAGTTTAGCAATGTAAAGTTTATTTATGCAGAATATTTTAATTAATAATTTGCTGCATTGTCACTTGTACAATAGTGTTTGGAAACGTTGGATTTGATCTGCAGTGGATTGTGGGATTAAACCTCATAGCTCCTCACTGCTGGATAATAACATGGATCTATTGAAATAAGGAACATCCTGAGCTTTTTCTGCTAAATGAGCTCATGGTTCTGGTTCTGGTTTGGATAACAGAGTTAATGCAAAGATGAGCTTGTGTTGAGTTGTTTTGTTTATGAATGAAAAGAAGGAAATATGTATTATTTCTTTTATTTTACAGTTAAATTATTATTTTTTGTAATCCTAAATGTTCCTATATGAACTGCCTACCTCTTACACTTCAATAAAAATAAAAAAAGACCTTGTGGAATTGGCAGATTTGTTTTTGCAGTTTTAGGGGGTTATTTTTTCTTGAACATATATCGAGATATATATCGTATATCGAGATATAGCAAAATATATCGAGATATATTTTTTGACCCATATCGCCCAGCCATATCTCATGGTACAGTATTTATTGTGATATTTTGTGGAGGCTAACAAAATTGTGCTACATTTCTCTTTTAAAATGCCTTGACAGTCATAATCCAAATAATTAAGATTTAAAAGTGCTAATAACAGTTATTCATCATGTTAAGGTGGCGTTTAGACCGAGTATGTAGTTCCCTCTGCAGTGATTGGTGCGTCATAACTCTTGGGATGGGACAGGATCTCTTGCAAGAGAAAACCTTTGGCTTGGACAAAAGAGTTATGAGCTGGTGAGTTAGGCAATTTGAGAAGCTGTAGTTTCAGAAAGCAGTACTACAATGATCACAGAAGTATTACATAAAATAAATGAAGCCAACATTGTGAAATAGATTGCACTACTACTACTTTATTACAAATGACACCAAAATCTCATCTTGTCTCGTTCCTGTAGACCCAATGTCATGGCGTGTCTCGTCTTGTGGAAACTGTCTCGTCACACCACTAAAAACTATCAATTTAATAAACTATAATTATAATTTAACTATAATTTAATTAATTTTGATATATTATGATGGCCCATGATATTATTGCAAGACTTTTGACGAAACAATATCACGATATTTCGGTTATTGCTCCATCCCTATTGGAAATATTCTTATTGTCTTAAATATCCTCCACTTGCTCCTTGACTTACACTCAGTGACAAAGAAGTTTAACATGGTGATGACCACAGTGTGTCCGCTGAACATGTAGTCTCCACAGGTGTGTACTCCCGTCAGCGTCATCCCAAAGCCGCTCCAGATCGCCACCGCCCTCTGCAGCTTCGCCCACATGTCCCCGTACATCTGAACACAACAGGAAGGGACAGCTCAGAAGAGGGGAGGCACAAAACAAATGTGTTTCCTGTTGCCTCTTAAAGCTGCATTGTGTAACTTTTCCGGCGAAGGGTTCGTCAGATGCTTCTCTTCGTGGAAATGTTACTTTTCTGTCTGAAATGTTTCACAGTTTGATATTAAACTTTCTATCATCATGAAGAACAAACCAAACCAAGTTACAGGTCAGATCTGTGGAGAGACGACCCTGCTCACAGTCAGAATGCCTGTTTTTCTAGGTATTTTTGAGCTATAAAAACACCTGAAATTTAATAAAAGTTTGTATGTCTGTGTTTTTGAGTGCACTAGTGAGAGAGTTAAGTGTATGTGTGCTCTTATTGTCATGTTTATAAATTATGTGCCTGGGGAAGAAAAAAAAAATGCCTTTAAAATTATGTGCAATGTGTCAATGAAAGGGGGCCTAGCGTTGTGTTTATGTTGCACTACCATACTACTTTTGTTTAATTTAGCCAAATTTGTGTTAGTGTGTGTGGTCGGGGGGAAATGGGGGCCCTTTTTTTTTTGTTGTTGTTGTTGTTGTTGTTTTGTTTTGTTTTGTATTTGTTGTGGGTGTTGCTTTATGTTTTTGTCTTTTGTTTTATGCTGATTATTGTAATTGTTAAATGTAGATCGTTGTATTTTTTAAATGTTATATTCTGTTCTCCTTAAAAAAATATATATATAATTAAATGATGTGCCTTATGTGACTTTGGCTGAGCAGGGGGCTAAAGATGGAAATTATTACAATTTATTATAATTAAATTATTATATTTACAAGTACATGTTTTTTTTTTCTTTTGCATTATCTTGACTTTTAATATGCATCGTTCCTTTAATAAATAATCACTAATCTAATAACAATAATTTAATAATAATAAACATTTCCCTTATGGATCAATTAATTTTGTCTAAGTCTAATTCTAAGTAAATACAAAAGCAGAAAATACAAATTCTTGGTCGACTAGTCCAGATTAGACGACTAAAAAAAGGGGGCATGGCAAAAGATCTCAAAACTATAACTATAACTCTGTCTGTGTATCTGACCCAAACTGCACTAACAAGATCACACCAGCAGGGGGAGTTTATACAAAACAACTATTTATGCAGAAAAAAACGAACTAAGAAATTACGTGTTTATATAAAGACATCTGAAACTTGTGAATCATGAGTTTAATCTGACATATACATATAAATATAAAAAAATACTTCAGCTAACTCACTCACTTCTGCTTTCTTTGTAGTCTTATATAAATCCTCATTATCTAAATAAAATGAATAGTCCAGTGGTCAATCAATTAAACAAATAAAGCTCTGTGTGAGTCAGTTAGAGTTTTTAAAAGTTTGTGTTGTGTTGTTGTGTTGCTCATATGTGGGAGAAGGAAGCACGAGGTAGGAACTATTTCACTATCCAGCCTTTAATTAAGTACAACAGGCTTTCATTAACGTCCAGTAGAGAAGTTAACGTTACAAGACTCAGACTGGGGCACTGTGGGCTGGCTGGCTGTCTTAAAGGTGCACTGTGCAACTTTTCTAATGGAGGTTCAGTCCTGGAGATGTCATTGCTTTGTCCAGAATATTCCACAGTATAACATTAAACAGCTCTACCTTACATTTATTAAATTACAGGTGGTTTTATAGCTCAAAAATACCTAGAAAAACAGGTATTCTGACTGTGAACGAGGTTGCCTCTCCACAAATGTGACCTAGGTGTGCAAAAATATTGAAATATCGATATATCGTATCGTTTAATGTGATGATACAGGAACGATATCGTGGGCTGCTGGATCGATATATCGCCATGAGTATATTTTGGTATATTTAACTCAGTTATTTTGTTACAGTGGTACAGTTTTGTTGCTTGTTTAGTGGAAGGAAACTCGACACACTTGACTTTATCAGTGTTTTGATGATTAAAATGTTTGTGTTTGATATGAACTTTGCACAAGAAGTGGTTTAACAAAGACTTTTAGTATCACAGCCATGATTTAGCCTTTATTTTTATTGAACTGTAACGATTTGAAATATATCGTATTGAAAGTGCACTGTATCGAGGTATGTATCGTATCGTGGCCTATGTATCGAGGTATGTATCATATTGCCAAATTCTTAATGATATTCTACCTGTAACTTGGTCTGGTTTGGTCTCCATGAAGGTAGAAAGGTTTAATGCCATACTGTGGAACATTCCAAAGTGATAACAGCTCAATGGAGAACAGTATTTGATAGATCCACTGCCAGAAAAGTTACACAATGCACCTTTAAACATTTCAATTTAGCAGTTATTCATAGCTATGGTTCTATTGTTCAAAAATACAATAATTCCTTCTGTGAATAGGGGCGCCTCTCCACAGATCTGAACTGTAAAGTCGCGTAGTGCTGTAACCTGCTTATCTAGGTTTAAATCATACTGTGGAACATTCTAGACAAAGCAATAACATTACCATGGAGACAAGCAACTGGCAGACCTTCCACTAGAAATGTTTAAGTAGTGCACCTTTAAAGTAACTAATAAACACCCAAGAAGATTATACCAGTGTGGACGTCTTAAAACAGTTAAACATGTTTCACTGTTTTATCAGGATTATGCTTCTGAAAGGAAAGGCTTGTGTTGAGAGAAATACAAGATTCTGTGATTAAACTCCTTCTCTCCGCCGACCTATATCCAAGAGCGTTAATTAAGTAACTGGCCAATATCCTTTTGGGTGCGGTCTGCCGGAAATAGTTAGAAGTCGTCTTAATGAAAAAAGAAAAAGTCTATTCCACCTTCAAAAATAACTGATCTTGCTTCGTTTCAGAAGCTAAGCAGACTTGGGCCTTGTTAATACTGGGATGGGAGACTGCAAAGAATACCGTGATTAAATTGTACAGAATCCAGTCAGGATTCAAAGAGAAAAATGTAAAAGGGACAGTCTGGAATTTTGGACGTAGGACCTCATTTCCTAGTGAGCCAGAGTGTTGGAGACGTGTGGAGACACTTTTTTAAAACTAAAAACAGTCTGTACCACTCCACAAAGCACCCAAAAGCAAATCTATTATTCCGAATAATTTTAGAAGTAAAACTAACCTTGCATTTGAAGGATTTATGTCTGAGCAGCAGCAGTGAGTTGTACTTCTTGATAGAAAGCTTGGCAGTGGCGAACTGATATGTGAGAAAATAGTCCCTCAACATGCGACAATTCATGCAATGCAAGGTTAGTTTTATTTCAAACATTCTATCGACACAGACATTTACATCGACAGTCTGGTGTAATAATAGATTTGCTTCAGGTGTTTTGCGGAGTGGGTAAGACTGTTTTTAGTGGCAGGATAACTATGGTCATTGACATGCACTAGCCTAGCACCAGCGACCTCTGCAAATACAAGGACTGGATGGAATATTTAAAAAAGTGTCTCCACACGTCTCCAACACTCTGGCTCACTAGGAAATGAGGTTCTATGTCCAAAACTCTAGACCGTCCCTTTAACTCCACATAGACCTTCTTACTGTGGAGTGACAATGGAAGAGAAAACTATACCTTTAAATTGTGAACAGATAAAAAAGTAATCCATTGTCTGCATCAGGGTTGTCAAAGGATCAAAAGTCAGATACTAATCCATACTACAAATAATATCGAAACTAGATATTCATTTGAGCAGGTATTGATACTAAAAAAGTCACATTCACAGGACAGAAATGAACCTTTCCTGAATAGTTTTAGAAAAATATTGAGCATTTATAAGAGCACATAGACTAGAATACGCCCATGAACCACTATGAAACCTACCTGGACCACTGAGGGATTACACAGATATAAGACCATATGGTGATTTAAAAGAAAATACTAATGATTTAAAGTCAAAAATCACATTATATTGTCTAAAGAAAGAGCGTTTTTTTTATTATCATTGTGGTATTGAGAACGAAGTCTATTTCTCAGTATCGAAATTGAGCTTGAAATTTTATGACAACACTAGTCTAGAATGCATTAACAAAGCTCATATTTTTCCAGCTTTACTGTTTACACTGCGTATTAGTTCATTTGCCCAGTGAGCATAAAGGCGACATGGTCAGATGGAGGCCGGTCATTTGATGTGTGAAGTTTTCCGTAATACTAGACGGCGTTACCTTGCTGGAGCACTGCAGGTGTTGTCCGGGGACGGAGAGGGACGTGACAAACATGGTGACACAGCGCAGCATAAAGACGGTCCCCATCAGACTGCACAGGCGACGCAGCAAAATGGACCTGAGGCAACAACAACAACAAATGTGTAACCGTGGGCAATGCTGGGAAAAGTTAAAGGTCATATATTATGCAAAATTGACTCTTGTGAGCTTGAAGCCATGTTATAATGTTGTTACTGCACCACAAACAGACCTGGAGTTGTGTTTCGTTTCATTCACACATGTTTAATAGTTTATTACTCTGCTTATTTTTAGTCTGTTACATCTCCAATGGTCAAAATCCTCTGTGTAGCTCTTCCTGCAGGGTTGTATGTTAAACATGTGTGAATGAAACAAACTCCAGGTCTGTTTGTGATGACATACCAATATTAAAATCGCATAATATGGGCCCTTGAATGTAATAATTATGGTAAGATTTTCAACTGTTTAAATTAAGTGGTTATTTACGAGTTTAATCAACAGTGAATTTGAACGTATTTTATATATAGAGTTCGACTGATATGGATTTTTTGCGGCCGATATGATACCGATAAAGCAGGAGTTGGAGCTGCCGATAGCCAATATAAAAGCCGATATATTAAGTGATGTAAAAATTCACTATAAATCTTCAAATGATTATAAAGCCTAGGTCTGGCACTACTGGATTTTAAAATGGGTTTATTTAGGCGACATTTATTGTTATTCTGCCTCTTTACTGTCACATTTAAAGACAGTAGGTCGGCCTAATGCTATTTTTGCATCACATTCTAGCCTATAAACAAAGTAAATAAACTACCACTATCAGCCTTTAGCAGTTAATGCATGTGTGCTGTGGTAATTAATTATATGCGTAAATACTGGTCATTCACACCTCTATTCACACCTCATTTACATATCAATGCAGGTCCAAAAACATGTATATAGCCACTACTACAGCTTCAAAAATCTTCACAAATAAGTGTCCTTTCAATCCTGACTCAAAAAGATTGTAGCAGCTGTGTGTGTAAACAAGCACACGAGTGACGTGACTCTGGAGGTGAGTTCAGGGGCAGCACAGCGTCAAAGACACAGACAAATTACTCCGCAGGTAAATATTAATGTGGCGCTACGAATTAGAACATTTATCTGTCTGTAAATTGGATTAAATGTACATAACATAGAGAGTCTAAGCTTTATAACGAGGTATAACATGCTCACGTGGACTATCGGCGCAGATCAACAAGATTTAGGCCGATAGTCGATATGTCTCCAAGTGCCCATATAGGCTGATAATATCGGCCAACTGATATATCAGTCGGGTCACATTTTATATAACACATTTTAACATTTTAAACTAATTATGTTCAATATTTTGTTGTATCCTTTTAAAAATGGTAACTCGTAAACAAAACTCTATGCCATGCCAAATACCTCAGCAAAGTGTTTTTGTCTTGCATGTGTCAATAACAAGAAATGTTCAGTATTTCTCACCTGTGTTTGTGAAGCAGTAGCACCAGCACCCAGATGTTACAGAGAATGACCCCACAGGCTTCAGCCATCGCAAAGGCCCATGGGATACGAGGCACACTGAAGACAGAAAACAACACACACATTTACACAATTCCTCTAATTAAAAAGCCTTAAGATGGTCACAATTTTATTATCAGTTACAAAACAGCCAAACTACAAATTAGGTCTTAAACGAATCGATTAGAGCGATTATTCCTTCAATTAATCACTTAGTTGTTTAGATAGAGAAAGGCCTGTGAATGAGATTTTCCTAAACTGTACCAAGATAATGAAGTTGCTTTTCAGATGTCCTGGTGGAAAATATTTACAAAGTTTTCATTATCAAAACAACATTTACATATTTCCCGTGTCATTTGTTTATAATCCCTGCTCTGTCATAAAAGTCATCTTCTCTTCTCTCGACCCATGATATATTTTGTAACAGTTATTGGATGACTGGAAGAGTTGACAACTATTTCAATGACCAATTAGTTGCAATTAATCACCTCATCAAATATTGTTTTTAAATTTACATCAAACTATTTTAATTAAGGGAAGTCTTACAAATTAAGTATATGTGTCAATAAAAAAATGTGATCACAAAATATATATTCTTGCCTTTTTTGATTTAATTACGGCATTGTGATGTCTTTTGTGAACCTGTTTTCCTAGCAAATGGCATCTGTAATGGTCTTTTTAATAATAAAATCAATAATAATGATCAAATAATTATTATTAATACCAAATGATTATAGTTAAGTAGTGACAATGATTCAGATTGCACACAGGGCTGTCATGACAACTACATCACTTCATTGTTCAATATATGAAAGCTGGAATAATATACATTTTGGGGCTCAGTATTTATCATGGTTACAATTTCTTGCCATTTTTATGTTATAAAGTAAGATTTTAGCTGTAGAGGGTACATAAATTAACTAAAATAACTTCTATGGCTAATTATTGCTTCATTTTACCATTTATAGGTTGCAGCTCAGGCCTTTTAATGATACTGTATATTTAAAATTTACTGGGATTGTCCTGCTTTGTGTCCCTGGCATGAAGAAGTTTCAATATTATCGTTTTATTTCTCTGTAGCTATATATCGTGCTTAAAAAATCCTCATCATGACAGGCCTAAGTGCACAGCCCGAGCAGAAACGCACCTATCGAGGAAGATGTCTGGCAGTGGGGGGTAGGTGCGCATGTCAGGGACCCTCTCGTGAACGATCACCATGACGAAGGAGGTGAAGCCGAACACAAACACCACGTAGATGGAGCTGAGCGCGGTCTTCCAGCACTCCGGGTCCAGCCTGCGGGGGGCGCTCTTGTACTTCCCGTTGGTGTATTGATTCGTGTTGTACTCCTCTCCGACCGGCGCCGTGTCCGTGCTGTCACAGTCCCTCACCCCGTCTCCGTTACACAGCCACTCCAAACCAGGACCTGTGGACAAAGGGGCATTCATTATGATCACTGTATCCATTTATATTGGACTTCTGTCATGTTTAAGTGAAAATTATGAAGTGATGCTTCTGTGGGATTGGATGAAAATTAGAAGATATGAAAACCACACTTCACAAATTAAAGGGAGCTGTATGGAGTATGAAAGCTTTCAGAAATATTCATATGCAGAGGATAGAAATCTGTGCATATTTGGCTGTAGTTGAGTTAAATATTCGTAAACTCTCGAATGAATCCAGTTGTACATAAAATGTCTTGTGTGTATTTTTTCCCTCAGAATACAAATTGAAAAGTTACAGCAAGAATTACAGTCATTAAATGGAAATTTACGATTACGCTTTCTTCAGTAATCAGGACTAAAACAAGACTAAACCAGGTCTAAACCAGGATTAAATCAGGACTAAACCAGTACTGAGTGTTTGAATGGGCCCTGGAGGTGCGGTGATCAGGACTGAGACCGGGACCAGACCAGGACTGAGACCGGGACCAGACCAGGACTGAGACCGGGACCAGACCAGGACTGAGACCGGGACCAGACCAGGACTGAGACCGGTTTAGTCCACTTTTAATCCTGGTTCAGTCCTGGTTCAGTCTGTATGCGGTACAAAAGTCTGGCATCACAGTTTAAGTCACGGAAACAGGAAACGGCCATTATCCGTTTTTTTCATTATTCATTTCAACATAAAATCAAAAACTGAAAAAACTAATTGTTATCCTTTTTTTTTTTCATTTTGGCTTTGGAGACAATTAATGAAGAAAATTGTTGTTTTTTTCGTTTTCTTATTTTTGGGTTTATATTGAAAAATGAATGAACAAATGATACACGGATTGAGGGTCACGTCCAACTTTTCTTCCCAAAAACGAGACTCAAAAGCTGTGGTGACCCTGGGGTGACCCTGGGGTGACCCTGGGATGCCCGGGCCTTTTCTGTGGTTGGCCCCAAACTTTGGAACACTCTCCTCCCTGACATTAAGAGTTCCCCTTCAGTCGATTCTTTTAAGTCTCATTTAAAAACACACTTTTACTCACTGGCTTTTAACACGGTGTAAAAATTGTGTGATCCTCTGTCTTTTATTGATTTAATTTGCTGTTTTTCTATTTTTTTTATGTTTTTTATTGGCTTGCTTATTTATTTTATGCTTTATTTTATTTAATGTGTTAATTTATATTGTGCCTACTCTGTGCAGCACTTTGGAGACTTTGTGTTAATAAAATGTGCTATACAAATAAAGTTGTATTGGATGTTTAAAGTGCCGTACCTGTGGGAGAGTGTCCGTCAAAGGGCAGCCCCAGCTCCTCTAGAACATCCAGGTTTTGCTTCTGTAGTTTTCGGATGGAGACCATGAGGCGTTTAATGTCGCCCAGAACTTTGAGCTCCAGCGGGGGGGAGCGCAGGTCATACTCGCTCAGGGCCAAGAGGCTGGTCCCGTCCAGTCTGTGCCGGTTACACAGGAGGTCCACGTAGTCGCAGAAGCCTTCGTCCTTCAGCCATTTGGCCACGTGTTTGGTGGTCCAGCGCCGCACACTCAGCTGCGTCATAGTATCACGCCTAAAACACAGAGATACACAATGAAATATAATAAATAAATGCATATAACAACAGTTTTAAAAAGGCACATATTACACTGTTTTCTGATCTGTTATAATGTTGTTTCCTCGTCAAAAACATACCTGCAGTTTTGTTTTATTTCATTCACTCACTTTTTCTCTCAAACAGAAAACATTAGTCACATAGTTCCACCTTGTGACGTCATATGATAAGACAGGAAACATTTCCTGTGTCATTTCTTTGTAATTCCTGCTCTGTTCGTGTCATGAAACCTTGACATGCTTTGTAATCTATGTATAAACCAGTTAACGATTATTCGATTACTGGAATTACTGGACTATTTATAGATTGGATGAGTTAATCTACAAAATCATTAAAACAGAATTAGATTTATTGTATGGTACGGATGTAACGATATCCAAATCTCACGGTACAATATTTATTGCAATATTTTGGAGAGGCTGATATAATTGTAGATAGAACAGTTTTTACCTCCGCCAAGGAGGTTATGTTTTTGCCGGCGTTTGTCTGTTTGTCTGTTAGCAACATAACTCAAAAAGTTATGGACCGATTTTGATGAAATTTTCAGGATTTGTTGGAAATGTGAAAAGGAAGAACTGATTTCATTTTGGGGGTGATCCGGAAGAAATCCTGGATTCTGGATCACTTTGAAATTTTTGTTAACATTGTGGTAAATGGGGCCAAAAATTTTGTTTCTCAATATCTCGGTTAATTATTGACCAAACCCCATGAAATTTGACTCAGGGATGGACAATGGGATCCTCTTTCATATTCCAAAGGCTGATCCGGATCTGATCCAGAAGACTGATTTTATCGCAATTTATAAAAAATGGGGGTAGTCCTTGGCGGAGGTCTGCGCTCTCTGAGTGCTTTTCTAGTTTGCTTTTAAAATACCTTGACAAGATTTTGGTGTGAATTATTTCCATCATAATCCCAAGAATTCAAGTGAAAAACATATTTCTTCATGTTGTCTGCACTGAAATTAATCACGGGATATGGAGTTCCAGATGTTTATAAGCTGTTACTACTATAAAGCCATGTATTTAAACAAAGAAACTTGTAATTCAATATAATGTGACAGCCCACGATATTATTGTGAGACTTTTGACGATACGATATCACAACATTTCAGTTATTTTTACATCCCTATTGTATGGTTGTCTCTTTAAATATCATTTTGTTTTAAATTAATTGAAAAATAATTGTTTTCACCACAAATATAAGTTATAGCACAGCTCAAACAAACAGAAACAGCAACAAAGAGGATTAAACAAGACATAAGAACAAGGCAAAACTTTGGCAATTTAATATAACCACTCTATTCTAAGCGAAGGCTATTTTGGTTGCCTCTTTTGGTTATGTCCCATGCCCTGACTCCTCTAGAACACACCCAACCCATTAGATTAATAGAAATTCAAGTATACAGTACACAATCCAAACTGACAACAAAACAAATGTACAGTACAAAATCTGTGTATTCATATCAATCGATTATACCATTATTTCTATATGACATACATGTAAAGTTAACATATGAGTAAACCTGTTACCTTCTGCTTCTTCTTGTAGCTTTCATAGGGCAAATTTCTCCCTCTCTCTGTTCTGTACTTACAAAAACCATAGGACCTTAAGGAGAAGTGAACACTGACATTTCCAAACTTGCACTACATCAGCAAACACAAAAACGCCTCTCTTGCAAAACAAATGACCATTCCCCCTTTGTTCTTTCTTCAAACACATCTGAAACTCTCTGTTGTGTCCGATATAGCACGCAGATGTAAATAATGAGGCAAGAAGCACTGACTAGATTTGCAAATATTAAAATCCACCACTCCCCAGTGAATTATATGACGACTTTCACATGTCCTACACAACTGCACTTCACATGTGGGTCAAAATGAAATGAAAATTGTCACTCAAAGGTTAACAAAAAAGATGTAATTTTGAGAATCTCTGAAATAAGAAACTGCAGGTGGATTTGTGTATTAGATGGATCTCTGCACCTGAAAAAACATTTATGTGAGACAAATTAAGGCATGATGCTGAGACAATATTGTTCTGACTTCTATAGCTACATCTAACAAATAATTTTAGCAAACAATCGCAAATAAAAACAATTTTAAAAAGCTACAAACATTTCCAAAACAAGAGGCTTTTTGACAAGGCTTCACTCACTCTGTTAGCATTAGCCACTAGCTAGCTTTTCTACCATCAAGTTTGATAAAAACAAACACGTACCAGGATTGAAATGAAGCACGGAGAGATAAGAAATGGGGTGATAAGTTAGCTAGCTTCGTGGCATGACGGGACAGTGTGTGGTGATTGCGTTTGGTGTAAAAATAGCGGCTCCTCGTATGAAATCATTTCGCTCAGGCTGCAGGCTAGTTAGCATTAGCATCTCTGCTGTCACCAAACACAGTGCGGTAATGTCTGGACAACAGGCGCACCGAAAAATGTAGCGGGGGAACAGGGACCTCTAGCGGTGGGGTCCTGTTCTACAAGAAGTTTATTTCCCTCAAAAAATCACTTTCCTTTTCATTTTAATACACGCATAGAACAAACAAATAAATAAAATGATAAAATATTATTGTAAAAGATTATAGGCTGAGTTGTCACTTTAACATTTTGAATATGAGACACAAAAGTCACAACATAATCTGTGAACAGTGTTCTCTAGTGGTGGGATGCAGTACTACAAAAAGCCTAAGAAAAAATATTAACTTTTGCTCTTTACAAAAGTAAAGAATAAACAAACAAATTTATTTAAAAAGTACAAAAATTACTTATAGGCTCTTGTCATGCTAAAAGTTTGAATATGAGCAATTTGACCCTAAACTGATGAAAGTTAGTTTACTGTGGTGTCATAAAATGTTGTTGCAAATATTCATTCTTAATAATCACAATAATTTTGACCTAAATCTTTGGTTCAAATGACTATCAATCAATCAATCAAATTTTTATAAAGCGCTTTTCATACAAAAATGTAACACAAAGTGCTTTACAGTGATTAAAAACAATTCCACATTTCCTTCCACCCACCCACCAACCCAACCCCATAGTTGCCCGATTCCACACAACCAAACAACCCAGACACACACACACACACTCACACACACACTAACATGCTAAAATACATAAAACTACCTACAGTAAAATGTGAGGCTGAATACAGGCAAACCAGTTGAGAAAGCACCATCAGAGGAGCCGTCTACACCAGGAGCAGAGAGACGTCCACCGCCACCAGGAACCGTCACAGGGTCCAGGGGAGAGACGAAGCCCAGGCACATGAGGCCCAAGCACCAACCCTCCACCAGGAGCCCACATGACAGACCCAGCAGCCACAGCCGACATCTGCTCCTGATGCAGAGGGCTCCAACAGAGGAAACACTGGAAATCCTAAAAATATGCCTAAAATGAATAAATATAATAAAATGTGTCCAATAGAAACAAGTAAAAGTATAAGATTTCATTCAAAAGCTAAGCTAAAAGGGAGCTTCTTGAGCCTGCTCTTAAAAACATGAACATTCTCTGCAACCCTGAGCTCCTCCGGCAGGCAGCTCCATAGACTAGGCCTATATTTACTGTTTATGTGATGAGTGAGGGTGCGTTGGCCAGGGAGGCATGAAGAATGTCAGCTGCTGGACAACCTTGGCCTTGTTCACATACACACCAAAAAATCTGAGCATAATCAGATTTCTGGACTTTTAAGAAGCATAAGTGACATTCAAACTGCAAACAACTGTAGTGTGAGTGATCAGAGGGATCATAAGTAGAAAGAAATTAAATGGTTTTGCTGTTTACATGTCACTTTAATAATCTTAAAACTCAGAAAATATGATATTAATCAGATTTTGAGTGCGTGTGTAACATGTGAGTACAGAAGAGTAGCTTATTATCACTAAAGGGAATGAAGTTGTCCAATTTTAAGATAATTCTAATAGGGCTGCGTGATATAACAAAATATATATAGACAATGGAAGTGACTTTCCATTTTAATTATTTGATATAATACTACAGGTTTGGGCTCGGGCAATGACTAAAAATATATCTATATTGTTTTGTCCTTTTAATTTGGAAGGCAGTTGTCGGTAATTTTAGAGCAGTGTATTCTTGTCAGTACCACCATGTAGGTAGTAAAGGCTCACCCAAAGCCACAGGTCCACACTCACAGTTGGCACATGGAAAACAGCAGAGCTCGCCCCGACACTCCCTCTGTTAAAGAGCTCGTGAAGATTCTGTACGGAGGGAAACGATGTGGGAGCCATGTGAATGAAGTCTGGCCCAATCTGTTCCTTAGTGACCTGTAAGTCTGGTGTCATTTGTAACATCATTTTTATGTATTGAAGCTGCACTATGTAACTTTTCTGGAGGGTCTGCTGCTACCTGCTTGTCAAGATGGTATTGCTTTGCCTGGAATGTTCCACACTTTGGCATTAAACTTATCTATCTCCATGGACACATAGAGGAAGAGCTACCAGGCCAAGTTACAAGTCAGATTTATGGAGAAACAATAAAAAAGCATGGTATTCTAGATATTTTTGTAGCAATAAAACACACTGACATGAGTAAAGAAGTAAAAGTTTAATGCCATACTGAGGAAAAGTTACAAAGTGCACCTTTAATGAGACAATTTATATTTTAATGGCCATTCTAAAAGGATGACTAAAGCAGTACTAAAGCCCATTTTTGTGTCTGAACCACTAAATCAGTAATTTTTTTATATAGGACGTTTGCCAATGACCGCTACAGCGTTTGGAAGTTGGGAATTACGCATGTTTTGAACGCAGCACACGGACGGGCCCATAGTGAGGGCGGTCCGGACTTCTACGGCCCCTCGGTGGTGTATTATGGAATCCCCGCTGACGACTCGCCGACCTTTAACCTCTCCAAATACTTCAGCGCTTCAGACAAGTTTATTCACAATGCGCTGGAAGTAGAGGAAGGTGAGTAAAGTAAAACTGCATCATTCAGCGAGCACAGTTTAAAGCAGTGTTTCCCAAAGACTAGATCACAACCCTCAGGGGGGTCGCAAGAGATTTTTTTTTTTTTTTGGGTCGCCTTGTCAGGATCTGTAGGGTAACTGTAACCCTCTTTAACATGTTTTTACTAAGCCTCTAATGCAGAAAATAATTAGTTTTTCTTTTTTCTGTTTTTTTTTTCTTTTTTTTGAGGAATCTGTGTAAATGTTGCAAAATTGTAACAACAGGCTTTAGTGGTTACAAATATTACAACTTCACATCTAATAAAAGCCAACTTTGTATTAGTTATTACTCACTGAATAAATTGAAAACATGTTTTAAAATGAATTAATTTAATTGGAAAAAAAAATGTATTTGCTAAATCATGACTAAATCATGACTACATCATGACTAAACTAGGACTAAACCAGGAATAAATCATGACTAAACCATTGTAAAACCAGGACTAAATCATGACTAAACCAGGACTAAACCAGGACTAAACCAGGACTAAACCAGGACTAAACCAGGACTAAGCCAGGACTAAACCAGAACTGAACCAGGACTAACCCTCTCCTCTCTCCTGAGGTCGTGTGTTGGTGCACTGTGCTGTTGGCGTGAGCAGATCGGCCACACTCGTCCTGTCTTTCCTCATGCAGCACCACCGGCTCCCCCTGGTGGACGCTATTCTCAAAGTGAAGGAGCACAGGTGGATTTTCCCAAACACGGGCTTCCTGAAACAGCTCCGAGCTCTGGACATCAAACTACACACTCAGACATGATAGACTTTTTTACCAATAATTTTATAAATACTTAACTTGATTATTTTATTGTTGGTATCATTGTTGTTGTTTTTTTTTTTTGATAGAAAACTTTTATCAAGCACTTCTGATACATTGGGTTTGACAAATAAACACAGAAGTAGTACTGACTCCAGAGGAGGTAGAGGCATAAATGATTAGTTTGAGCGGGTTGTTTACTAGTGTGAGATATAAAGCCAGAACAAAGAGAATGTTTGGTGAATTTTATCAAGGGGAAAGACGTTATTGCCCTTCTTTCTACAGGATTTGGGGAAAGCTTAATATACCAGTTAGCCCGGTTAGCGGTGCATTACATACATCATGACCAAATAGCAGTGATTGGTTAAATGATAAAAAGTACCTGCCTACCACTGAGCAACCAAATTCTAATGCTGCGAGGTCAGACGGTTTCCACAAAGTGAAACCTGCTGATGAATCAGGCTAACGCAACACTGCTAAATCCACCAATTAAGGGGCCCATCTCATGCAAAATAACTCTTTTCACATTGTATCTTCTGCACATAAACAAGCACAATTTGGGTTTTGGAACATCCATTGCACAATAGTTCTGAAATCTTACTGATTTTTTGGAGACAGTCACAGACCAGGAACTATGAAAGACCGACTATTGCTCATCCCCCCGCCCGCCCTGAGAAAGCACAGGCTCCGCCCTCCAAACGTGACGTAGGCTCTGAGTGAGCCACCCTTCCTCCACCCATCTCAGGGAGGGAGGGGGAGACAGACGTGCACCCTGATAGTGGTAGGAATAAACTTTTATTCATCATGGTGATACAGCGCGTTCAGCTGCATGTGTTGGATCTGGAATTGGACAAGAACTTTGAGGTGCACGAAGCTCAAGCACAGTGTCGACATCAGCTGAACATTACTGATTGGTAAAGTATTAATAAACACTAGTAGATAAACTTATTATATTGTGTACACTGGTGGAGGCGGGGTGGAGGTGGTGGAGCGGGGAGAGAGTGGCGGGTGTGAAGTGTTTTCTGCTACGTCAAACGCGTCATAGGTGTAGCTGCCGTGTCATCGTTGTAGCAGTTTTAGTTCGTTGTCACGTGGAAGGGTGGCACAAATACGCTGCAATTTGTTAAAAAAACAACAAATCAATCTAAAAACCACTTTGTGATGTATGCATCACTCTTAGAAGGTAGAAAACTCTGAAAAGTTGATTTAGCATGAGATGGGCCCTTTAAGAAAGTAAAATTGGAGAACTACGCAAGTACAGAGCGACGTCTCTACTGTACACAGGATAAGAAGTGGATCACTAAAAGGTGCACTCTGTAACTTTTTAGATGGGAGTCTGCTTGTTTCTGTGGATATATCATTGCTCTGCCTGGAATGTTCCACAGTATGACATTAAACTTCTGTCTTCTGTATATGTGTGTGTGTTTTTTAGTTTAGTATAGTTGTCAGTATCTGTTTGTGTTCTTATTGCCTTTTAATTGAACTGTTACTCACAATTTTCTGTATAATTCTTATTGTTGTAGTTTTAGGGTGACCATGTTTACCATTTGTCCAGGGACTACAGATGAAAAATATCCTCTCTGGCTCTAGCTAATTCTGGTATATTTACAGAAATGCTGATTAATGCACACTGCCCCTGATAAATAATCCAAAAAAAAAAAATAAACAGTTCTACTTAATAGTTATTCAGTTACAGGTGGTTTTATAGCTCAAAAATACAGACAAAAACAGACATTCTGACTGTGAATGGGGTCGCCTGTCCTCAGATCTGATTCGTAACTTGGCCTGGTTTGGTCTCCATGAAGATAGAAAGGTTTAATACCATAGTGTGAAACATTCTAGACAAAGCCATAACATCTCCACGGACCCTCCACCAGGAAAGTTACACAATGCCCCTTTAAACGTACTTAATATTCCATACATTTGAAGCGTCTCCTGTAAGCAGCGTAGTGTTTTTGTAAGACTAACCCTAATGTCCCGGTCTAAATCTGGGCTCGTGCCTTGTGTCAGTGGACCACCTGTTCACAGACATCACCCCACCTCAGACAGACTCGGTCGGACTCGCTTGGACCTGAACTCTGTCCAAATACTGGAGCTCACCGCCGTCCAAAATGTCCCACAGAAGAAAGAGGAAAGAATATCTGACTGTGAAAGACCTGCAGAAAATGCTGGACTCCTGCAAACTACATCTGGGGCAAATCGACGAAGTTTGGCCCAATATCTACATAGGAAATCTGTAAGTACTGAAGTTTATGAAGAAACGCAAAGAAAGCAAGCGCAGTTTTCAGTATTTGGTGAATATATTTTGGAAGATTTAAATTGTAAAAAAGCAAAAGATGTATTGTTGTCAAATTGTGGAGCTGTTACTTACAAGTATTTAGTCCTACTTACTGTTACTAATAATGATGTTAATGAAGAGATAAAAGTTATAATGTTTGGTTCAGTATTTAGAACAACATTATCCAAGATTTAGTCTTATTTTAGACCTGGTTTAGTCCTTATTTAGGCCTGACCAGTCCAGGTTTAGATCCGGTGGTACCACGATCTGAGTGTGAGAAGTCTGAGAACCGCTGAGCTTTATATACCGCTGTTACTACGGCATCTGCTTCGTTCATTCATTCATTCATTCATAAATCGATCACATAGAAAGAAGTACAGGTGTATTAAATCACAAAGCTGGTCTATCAACTTTACTTTTGTTTAGAGTAATTAAATTCTTTCTCGTGTCCCTGCTTCAGTGAGGTGAAAAGGTTTGCGTGTTGATGATGTAAATGGAGGGATTCCCGTTAAGAATTCCTACTTTCCTGTATCTTCCAGCTTTTCTTAACCAATTTGTCCATATTGTCCACATACACTACTGGTCAAAAGTTTTAGAACACCATAATTTTTCCAGTTATTTATTGCAATTCAAGTCGTGCAAGTCCAATGAAGAGTTTGAAATGGTACAAAGGTAAGAACTGAACAGACAGAGGTTTAAAAAAAAAGATAAAAGATACAAAACACAAGTCCAAGCTCTGCCTAAAACTACCTCAGGAGAAAAGAACAAGATGGTAAAACTTGAAAACATGGAGTGTCCAGCACAGTGTCCAGACTTAAATTCCATCAAGCTGGTTTTGGATGAACTGGACAGAAGAGTGAAAGTCAAGAAATCTACAAGAGCCACACATTTATGGGAACTTCTGCAACAGACTTGGGAAGAACTTTCTGAAGAATATTTGATTTCTATTGTAAAAAGAACGAGCCACGAGTGTGTTCAGCTGTTATATCTGCCAAAGGTGGACACTTTCATGAATCAAAAGTTTAAAATACATTTTGGTCAACAGTAAACAGTAAAAAAATGGAAAAAATGTGGTCTAAAACTTTTGACCAGTCATGTATTACACCAAACCTGGCACAGGCACTTGAACCCATAACACCACTCCACCACGACTATTATGTTTCTAATTTAAAAATGACTGAATAAACTAATAATTTCACTCAAATATGGTTAAATTACATTTTACCATAACCACATATTGAAATATATTTGAAGCAAGACCAGTGTCAAGATAGAGTCAATAAGATTAATGCATTTTCACAGCTCTTACTGAACAACTGTACATTTAAAAAGGTTTGGAACACCAATTTTAAGTATAATTACTTATATTTTCAGTACAAAATACTGCCTATCATCATTTGGGCCACTTCAGCAGGATGCCTGCGGGCCAAGAAAAACATTTACAAAACACAACACTACTCAGCTGCTACTTTTAAGTTTTATAGTCATTATTTCGGCTTCTTGTTCATAGGTGTAACTTTGAGGACTTTTCCCAGAGGTGGAACTTGCAAGTCGTGACTTGGGTCACTATTTTTAGGACTTGAGACTTGACTTGATAAAATGGACTAAGACTTGGGACTCAACTTGGACTTGAAGGTCAATGGCTTGGAACCTGACTCAGACTTGAGGCCTGTGACTTAAGAAGACACGATGCTTCTCCTAAAAAATTATATGTTTTTAGAAAATACTTTTCTTTTTATGGTTGACATGTGTAGTGCTTATATGTCTTATATGTTACATGTTCTAATTTGTTCCTTTACAGGAACAAACTAGAACATGTCCCTCCCACTTCTCTGTTTGTTTCTTTGGATGTAACTGAAGTACTGTGATGTGGTATCCTCAAAAGTACTACAGTAATATACAGTACAATACAGTAAAAAGGGAACTACATAGAGCATGATCCTTCAATTTCAGTGCAGACTCACAAAATAACTTTTTTTTAAGCACTTTTAAATCTTAATTCTTTCTATTCTGGCCGTAATGATTCACACTAAGATCTTGTCAAGACATTTAAAAAGGAAAATTTTGCATTTCTTAACTCTATAAATACTCATATATAAATATACCATGACTTTTTAAGTACAATTTAGTTTAAAATTCATATAAAGTGCAAAAATCTAAGATATATTTGGTGCTTTGGTTTAAAGACTTGAAATGACTTGAAGCTCAAAGCAGACGACTTGGACTTGACTTGGACTTTTGGGTCAGTGACTCGAGACTTGACTTGGACTTGCCTGAATTTGACTTGGGACTTGGCTCGGACAAAGACTTGAGACTTGCAAAACAACGGCTTGGTCCCACCTCTGACTTTACCCCATTCAAACGACGAGATCTTTTGTTTTGTATTGTTAGTAACTATGGCAACAGGGTTCGTTTAATTTAATATGTAACTGTAATATTCTAACGTGAGGGTCGTGTTGTGTTGCCAGCGCAGTAGCTCAGAATAAGACGGCTCTGGTGCGGTTGGGCATCACTCACGTCCTGAACGCCGCTCACTCGAAGCAGGGCAGCATCGGCGACCAGCGTTTCTACGGCAACGACTTTGTTTACCTCGGGATTCCGGCGGAGGACTCCACCTACTTCGACCTGGACCAGTACTTCAGACCTGCAGCAGACTTCATCCACAGAGCCATCAAGTCTCCAGATGGTGAGATGAACTAGGACTGAACCAGGACTGAACCAGGAATAAACCAGAACTCAAACCAGGAATAATCCAGGACTAAAAC